TACATTCCACTCAATGCATATGGTACCTGAGATGAGAAAATAGAACAGTTTTCAGAGAAAGAATTTCTCTTAGTCACTCTTAGTGACTTTTTTTGTCCTTCTTCCTGAGTTCAAACAAGTGATTACTCTTAGCCAATTGGCTTTTTCTTTCACTTCTCAAAACTCTGATTCCACCTACAGTCCACCCAATGCATTTGCTACCTGAGATGAGAAAATAGAACAGTTTTCAGAGAAAAAATTACTCTTAGTCACTCTTAGTGACTTTTTCTGTCCTTCTTCCTGAGTTCAAACAAGTAATTACTCTTAGCCAATTGGCTTTTTCTTTCACTTCCCAAAACTCTGATTCCACCTACATTCCACTCAATGCATTTGCTACCTGAGATGAGAAAATAGAATAGTTTTCAGAGAAAAAATTACTCTTAGTCACTCTTAGTGACTTTTTCTGTCCTTCCTCCTGAGTTCAAACAAGTGATTACTCTTAGCCAATTGGCTTTTTCTTTCACTTCTCAAAACTCTGATTCCACCTACAGTCCACCCACAACTTTTGCTACCTGAGAAGATCAATTATCTTTTTGAGACCTTTCTCTAGTTTCTGTGAGTGCTGATGCGCCCACATGATCCAAGTCAAAAGGATCAAGGCGGCTGCAAAAGCCGTTGAGTTCTTTCTCAGTCGCAGTTGATATGCGCGTGTGTAGTCTTCCATATATTCTTCAATCTTCCGGTTCCGGTTCTGGTCTGACACCCCCATAATGCTCGACGAGGCAGTGCTCAGGTAAAATGGCCCCGGGCGCATGCAGAGCTCTGTGCAGCCCCTGCTCTCGCTCGTATGGATGCTGGGTCTGCGCTCAAGTCGCTGCAGACCCAAACATGAAAGCTCTAAAAGTGGCTTTACTGTGAGGCCTTGCTTTTTCTACTCAATCGTCTTCCAGCCTCGATCATCACGTCAACTTACTAACAAATTGTTAGTAACAATACGTGGTAACCTGCAACGAACCTATCGCTAGCCAAGGGTGAATTTGGAGGCCTTCGTAACCCGTTGATTGGCTTACACTGATCAGCAGTATTTTCGAGAAAACGTCCATTCTAACGACTTCCGATACAAAATTCTTGTATCCGTTTTTGGTGATCTTTTTTTTTTGGAAGGTTCTAGATTCTGATCTGCTGTTCGAATCCACTGGAGAGCTGTTTTCTGGTCGACTTTTGATTTCCAAATATCACCGACAATATTTACAGCTACAGCTCTCCAACAGTGTCCAACGAAGCTGGCCGTCGGAACCAATTCCAGCTGCGCTCATGAAGCGGACCGAATTCGTTGTCGGATGCCAAGTTTCCGAGGACTCGGGTTACCTAAGGAAGATCCGGTCTATGCGCGAAAACCACGGAGGACAATAAACAGCAGCGTTAGCGTAAGGGAAAAATAAACACCAGTGCTAGCGTAGTGGGACACCACGTGGAAGTCGTCCGTTGGCCGAGTGATGAGTGTAATGTCACCTAAACTTGAAACTCGACCAAATGCAGAGAGAGCTAAAGCCCCCTCCCTCTGTCCTTCCTCCTCTGCTTAAGAGGGTAGATTTTGATCGTTACAGTAAGAGATATTGGTTTCGCCTTTGAACTACGTCTCGACCTCTGACTCGATTCATGTACTACAGTATCAAGAGTCTGATTTGGATACATCTCTGAACTACCAATTGCAGTAGCTTCTGTTGCACTGTTGTAAACCGATAACAGACTCAGACCTGATCGCATAGGCATCTTCATGCTGTGCAGGTGCACACACTATTGGTCGGACTCAAAGCAAAGGAATCCTCCCACATCTCTGTTTGTCTCACGAAGCATTGTCCTCAGGGTATCAGAACGAACACCATCTTCATCGACTCCATAGCAAGCACCTTCGACCGTGACTACTACAAAAATGTGCTGCAGGGCAAGGGAATTCGCCCTGCAGCACTTACGGGTCTCGTTCCCCCTACGGACCTCGTGAAAAGGTTTGGAGTTCTGTAATAAATATTCTAAATTCGTATTTATTGAAGCGGAAATACTACACAAGTCTTTACCTCTACAAGACTTACCGAGAGTTAATGTCTACTTAACTTTCTTTGAAGCCTTTCGCACAATGATCGACAGGAACGAGCATTGAATCTTTACACGTCAGAGAATTGCAATCCTGCCCTACGGTAGACTTCCGAAGGCAGTCGCCTCTTTAAGAGTAGATTCAGAGGATTCCGCCTCACTACGGTCATTCCGAACTTCTCTTCAACATCTACGTCCAGATGAGTCAAGCCTTTGGGCAGGGAGATTGTACACGCATGAACCAGCTGGGCGAGGTTATAGGGCACAGAGACGAGCGCCAAATTCATGCCCGGACACTTCCTTCGCCCAGAACCGAATGGCAGAACCTCATAATGCTGCCCCTTCACATCTATAGAGCTGTTTAAGAATCTTGAAGGATCAAACTTCAGAGGATTTTCCCAAACCTTAGGATCTCTGCCAATGGCATAAAGGTTCAGCATTACACGGGTATTGGCAGGAATATCGTATCCTGCTACTTTCGTTGCCTCCGTCGAATAATGAGGAACTCCCAAAGCAGCGACTGGGTGCAGCCGTAGTGTTTCCTTCACCACTGCCTGCAGATACTCGAGGTTGTTGAGGTCTGCTTCTTCAACCAGCCTTTCTTTACCGATTGCATCGTCCAGCTCACTCTGAAGTCTTTCCATAATGTTGGGATGCCGCAGAAGCTCAGTGATTGCCCACACAATCGTATCAGAGCTGGTATCAGTTCCAACAATGATGATGTCCTGTTTGAAGGATCACCGATATTAGTGGTCATGTCAGACGGCGATACAGCTCGTGAGAATATTGATATTCGCGTCCATGTAGTATTGCCATTGTCATCCTTACACTATTTTGTGCAATGAACTTGCGATTTGCTGTAAGAAAGAATTAAGAAGATCCACGATTCAATTTTGCCTATGCTGATGTCTGTGCAGGAGAATATAAGCTCAAAACAGCGTTAAAAATGTGATACACAACATGCACTCTTTCGACTCATAGCGAGTAATCGATGTCAGAAGGAAGACAATCGTCATGCAATCTAACATTCGAGCGGAAGAGGTTAGCATCTGTCACTAACCAGAAGAAGGAGTTGGACTTGAACACGTGAAAATTTGCTCGTAGCTAACAGCACATCCAAGAAGTCTTCTTCAGTATTGGACTTGGAGTTGGAATTTTCCTTCAGGCGGTTGTCGATGATGGAATCCAGAAGTTCGAAATATCTTTCACCAATATTTTTCAGTCTTCTAACTTGTCCGCTCAGATCAAGTGGCTTAAGCAAAGGGAAGAACTCTTCTATTACGAACCATCCTGCACTTGTAAAATCATCAACAATTTCCAGAAGGTCCTTGTTCTGAGCATGTCGATCCAGTTGAAATAACATTCGGGTAGTCAAAGATATAAACTGGTTGTGCATTAAATCAGCTAAATTTATGTAATGCTTCGCATGACCCTCCTCGAATGCAGTCCGCAAAGTTCTGAAAGTCATCTGTCGCCTCAGATCCTGCACGAGTCACTTTCTAAACGTTAATGGCGCAAAAAATGGCGACATGCTGCACACGCGACAGAAGGGAATCATGATTTCAACGAGAGAAACATGAGCTGGTGTCCGTGAGAGACCAGAGGATTTGAAACTCTTCTTGCGAAGGCCAAATGCGAGCCATTTTTCAGTTTGTGAGAAGAACAAACTCTGGAATTGGTACAGCTTTGAGAAAACTAAGAGCTAATTCTTTGTTCTCGGTGTGTCAGGGACAGAATTTAGTAGCACTTTGTAGAGTGATTCCCTCAGCTATCTGTAGTGACTGGTTGTCCACATGAGATGCTCTTCAAACAAAATGAGACCTCTTCGAATAGACAGGACAAGTTCGATGTAGTTCTTAGAGCCCAGTCGATCATTCCTTAGAAGGAGATAGTGCATGGGACCAGACTCTTCCAACCAATTGGACTTGTACCTTGAATGAGTCGATCCGCTTTTCTGAAAAAAGTTCTGTGAGAATGATTTTCCGGGCTAGACGAAAGTGGTCATTGAAAGGACTCCATACTAGACCCTGAGCTTTCTTGAACACTTTCTCTACCACAATCCCTGAAGGGCGAGACGCAAATATGTGATCTTGAGTCTTCAAAACCTCCCTGGCCATATCTGAAGAAGTTACAACCACAGCATTTACAGCTCCCAGTTCCACCCACACTATGGATCCATATTTTTCAGCTATTTTGGCGAGGGAGTGGTGAGGCATCCCGAATAAAAGGTGATGGAAATGGCCAATCAATGGCAACGATGGCGGCCCAGGAGGTCGTTTCCTGCCCGTATATCTTACTCTATTGAAAATCTTCAGCAGGACGTACAGGAAAACCAGTGCAGCAAGAAATTGCACAGACCCGCCCGTGAGTACAGCAATGAGGTCCTCCATATCTCTCACCTCTATGTCTTGTGCAACGCAGATGAAAGGCCCTGACTGAAAGAATGAATTCCCTGACGATCAAGGCCAAAACAAGGGATCCCACAATATGTGGTATTTGAAGAATTACTGCAATTAAAGCAAGCAGACACACACTTTTATTGTCCCCTGTTCTGTAAAAGTGGGCTTATTGCTTGGCTGGGCCTACGTTCGACGTATGTTCGGGAAGTGTGTTCTCTTTTAATTATAAATTTTTATAGGAAAGTGTATCAGATGGTTAGAGGAACGAGTCATAAAAAGAAAGAATTAAAAAAGAAAAAGAAAAAATTGCAAGATATTTCGTTAATTAGATATTTCGTAAGAGCCCGCCTCAGATGCAATTCCGAGCTCAGAGCCTGTCATGAGTCGACGAGTGAAAGCAACGCACTTTCGATAACTACATTGATGCTGCGTGTCAGGTATTCAGCTTCATAAAGAGTTGCAGTGCGGAATAGTCACTCTGAAACGGTCGACATTCAACAGGCAGGTGTAAGCTCTTAGCAGATTTCGTTGGGTAATGAAGTCAGCACCAACGTGAACATTTTCTCATCAAATTTACTTCCATATACGATTCATTTCGCCGGACGTGTTGGTCAGAAGGTAATACACGAAGAAAAAATCAGTGCTCTCATAAAATCTGAATGTTCTTATACTATGTATAGGGACCGGATGTTCTACACGCAGAAAATACATCTGCAATCCGATCAAAAGAATTACTCAATGCTCTACACCTCCATACGTATTTCAACCTATCGGTGTGGGCAAAAAACTGTTCTCGACTCCGTAAGAAACAACTCCCCTCAAAAACTGCCAAAACTGTATGACGAACTGTGCTGCGGATAGCAGAGTGATCACAAAGCCCCACTGCTTATGCTGCACAAACGTTGCAGCTAGACTTCCTCTGACAGGTTACTATGCGTGGAGTATTTCTCAGATGATGATCAAGTCCCTCGGACAAAATTTTATGGTACATTGATTCAAGAGAATCTCGAGGAACTGTGATAAAAATAGTCATCTCAGAACGTGCTGCTTCTGGACTTCAATAGCTTCAGAGCTAGGTCTTCTTGCTCGGAAATGGTCAGCTTTGCGAAAGGCTTCTTCTTTTTCTCAGGCTGTTTCTCTTCAGGATCGAAGTCTGAATCACTGCCACCAAGAGGACCCTCATAGTCTGATACATCAAGATCGCTGCTTCCACCATTCCTTTTCCTTGGCCGCTCGTCCATCGACTCGTCCTCGTCTTCACTGTCAGAACCGTTCCCAAGTTGAACACCTGCGTCTTCTTTAGCGTCCTCAGACGCGGCCTTCAGCTTCATCTTCGTCTTGAATCTCTTCTCTCTCAGTCGCTGTTTCTCCATCAACCTGTCTTCTTTGTCCCTCTTCCTCATTTCCTCCTTGATTCTTTGGAAGTGTTCTCCTGCAGCTTGGGCTACTTCATCTGTGATACCTGGCAAGGTACAAGAAAAACAGGAATGACTTACTGCATACAGACCAACATACAGTTTGTATATTCAACTTTCAGTGTCCTCACAGACTGGTACGCGTGCGATACTTAACAACAGCAACTCCGAGACATATCCGGGCATACGAACTAACGAACAGCTCCGGTCTACAAATATCAAGTACTTCAAATACTACGAGGCTTTTAGATCCTTACCAGCTGCATTTGATGCCTCATCATCCTTTCTAGCCAAGGCAGCAAGAGGAGGCAGGGCATTTCCTTCGTCGTCAAAGACCATCCGCTGGCTCCCTGCTTTTCCAGCATCGATCTTCAGCTTTTTCTTCTTCAATACCTTGACACCGGAGCTGCAATAGAATGGAAAATTCCGTGTAGTAAGAAAGGTTACGTCTGAATTACAATCCAAGTTGTCCACCTTATCAACTTCAGCTTTTGGCTGAGTTTCAGAACATCGTCTTCCAAGCAATTTCTAGCACACTTGCGACTGAAACCTCGTAAAATCAAATAGACATGAGACAAGTACAATTGACTAGTGTAAAATGAAGTTCCTGTGCAGATCCTATATCCCAACACAGCTTTGAAATCATAGAACAGAAGACAAGTTCAAATTATTCAAATTTCAAGTCGTGATCACGTACTTCTTAATAAGAACAGAAACCGTCGGGTCAGCTTCTTCTTCGTTGTCAGCCCTCGGTCTCTTCTTGCTCATAAATTCTTCGTCTTCTTCGTCTTGCACGTTTCTAGATCGCATCTTTTCATGGGCACTAGAAAGCACGTCAATATTCTTCCGATTAAACAAACGATCGAGTTTTGATTTCTTCTCCTTGACCGCCTTTGGCTTGAGGTCAAGATCAGCCATCTCCATCGCGTTTTCTTCTGGTGTGGGATCATCCTCTTTCTCGTCCTCATCTTCCCCTTCCTCTTCTTCCTCATCTTTCTCATCACCTGATCCCTCATCTTCACTGTGGTCACTGTCATTCTTCTTTAGAACTCGGTTCTTGTTACTCGCCGTTTTCATGAAACGAACTCTAGGAGTGGTAGGTAAACCTAGTGACACTGCGTATTCCTCGATTGGAAGCTTCGTCACGTCGAAGACTGCTTTATTCTTCTGGAGATGAACAGATCGCAGATACGTGACGAAAGCACGCTGTCCTAGATACTTGAGCTCTGTATTCTTAGACAGAAGACTTGCTATAGTTCCGGTCACTGATTGCACCTTGTCCTTGTTGGGCTGCCACATACTCAAGTGCAATGGGAAGGGTCAGCAGTCTTTGGACAAAGCTTCGACGACGATATTCGGAAACTCAGTCAAAAGTTGAAGAACTGTACGTGTTAGCCAGTGAAGAAAAATTCCTCACGTTCTACCTTGATAGTCTTGATCGGTATCTTGGCAGCCTTCAAATCTTCAAGCATAACTTCCTCTGATGGCGTCAGAAACATCAAGGAGCGTCCAGACGCTGTGTACCGAGCAGTGCGGCCCACACGGTGAATGTAGGATGCGACATCCTCGGGACAATCCATCTGCAAGCGGGGACCGAAAGAACGCCATGACGGAGTCATAAGCATGAGGGTAAACAAAATACGCGATGGTGCAATTACCTACACCCCAAAGGACTGCAAAACTTTCAACCACGTCAACCACAAAGTATACCTGAACAACCCAATCCACGGCTGGAAAGTCCAGTCCTCTGGCGGCAACATCGGTGCAAAACATAATGGAATGCTTCGTCTCACAAAAGCTGGAATACACCAACATTCTCTGTGTCTGTTTCATCCGGCCATGAAGACACTTGACTGGAACACCAGGTCGCAACCGCTTGAACACCTCATTAACGAACTTGACCTGCATACAGAGTACCATTAGTTCTGTCCGCATTTTGTCTCTAGTCCGTCTCAAAGTCAATAATCACCATTCCCCATCCACAACAATCAGCCTAGTATTTTTTTGAGTGAAACTATTCCATATACAGGCTTAATTTTAACTGGTTAAACCTCTCACAACTCCCTTCTCTCACTGAATAAGCCAAAATGAATGTGCGCTACCCGATGTAGCCCCACAGTACAAGAATGAAGTTCCTACTAACCTGCTTGCAACTAGAAAGAAAGACGAGGGTTTTTGCGTGGAGATGAGTCTTCACAAAACTCCAGAGCATATCCATCTTCTCATCCAAAGGCACGATCATGACAGTCTGTTGCAGCCGGGCGGGTGTTGCAGCAGTTGATTCCGCGTGTACAGCCAAGTACTCTGGATCTTGAAGACTTAGACGTGCGAGATCCTGAACTGATCTAGTTTGGGTGGCAGAAAAAAGAAGAGTTTGTCGTTCTTTGTTTAACTGAGCGACGATTGCGTTGATAGTACCCGAAAATCCCATGTCCAGAATTCGATCGGCCTCGTCCAAGACCAAAACCTTTGCAAAATAGAAACAAAACAGTATTTAACAAAAATAATTTGTCGTAGCAAACGGATTGTGACAGTTTGCAACATCAAATCCTCAAAGACGAAGAACAAATGAACACGTAAAGAAAACAAGGTCGGGATACACAACTGAGAGGTCTTCGCATATAGTGCACCAAGGAAAAGTCGAAATAAATTTGCCCTTCCGGTCTAAAGTATGGAGGTGGTGATCAGGCATACAGCGACGTATATTACACTTCTATTATCTTCAGAGGTGAATAATTATACACAGCTTTACAGGAACAGCACATATGATGAACTGAGTAGACGTATCCACAGTATGAACGTGAGAGCAGATATCAAAGCAGGCAAAGGTGGGTAGCTAGTGATCAGCGCAACCATGCATCCCAAACTAAGATCTTACCGACACATTGTTGCCCCTGGTAGTCTCTTTATGACAAGCATGTCTGAACAAAGAAAGTATAAGTCCGGTATGCACGAATCACCATGCATCTGTCCAAGTACTCAGACCAGAACAGTTTGAAAAGAGCAAGAATCAATTGCTACGCATATCCAATACGAAATCGTCAGCGCGCCTATCGTGGTGTCGAAGTAGCTGGGCAGTGGCCGGTACTCGTCACAAGTGCCTGTATTCCTCGATCAGCTAAGACCAGCAAGATGCTGGTCGCCTTAAGATCTCCTAATATGTATCAATACTTTCATAAGTACAAGGACAGTAATACATGTGTATGAGTAAGTTTAGTACCTGCAGCTGAGTGCAGTCAAAATCGGGGGTCTCATCCATATGCTGCAACAATCTTCCAGGTGTACATACTAAAATGTTGAGTCTTCCAACATGCTCCTTCTCTGTTTCCACATCCTTTCTTCCACCAATAAGAAGACCACCACTAAGACTGTGATATTTTCCAATCTTCTTGAGTTCGTCAAAAATCTGATAAGCAAGTTCTCTCGTAGGAGAGATGATGATGGCACCCACTCCATCGTCGCGACTCCAGCGTAATCTAAAGAGCTTTTCAATGACCTGCAGATGACGTATAAAATAGTACAACAACATGCACAACTTGTCTGTTAGCATTTGCTATCATAGCTTATCCATAAAGAGGATAAGTGGTGCTAGTGGCAACAGATGAAAGAGTAGTAGTGCAAGGGAACAAAGAGGACGAAAGGAAGAGACAATAATTTGAAAGTAAGATGGGCCCTCTATATAGTGAGAGTTATTCCACAGCAGGGGATAAACGTAAGAAAAGGTAAATTCGAAGTTTCAAAAGTCAAACAAGAACCATTTACTATTTCATTCACTTGATCAAATTTATGTTAACATCCCGGCATCTGACCCACCTGTTGAGACCTTCAGCTTGTTTTTCCCCTTGTCAAATTAGTTCTGTGTGTGAGATATCCAGAGACAGTGGTCTGAATGATTGAATTTCCAGATTATTCTAAGACCTAAGGGGGGTTCTTGAGTATGTGAGCTTGAGACGAGCGAAAAAGACTTGAAAGCACAGGGGGCACGTCCCAAACTCGGGCGGCACCGTCAGTCGCAATACTGACGGACAAACCAAAACCAATATAAGTTGTATCCACATCTCTTCCATGAGTTAGTCCTCTGAAAATGGCTTCTATTCCAGACATGTTTCGTGCTTGATGCAGCTGCAAAAACTACATAAGCGTTGTCCAGAATGACTGAAGACTGCCTAATGATCTCTGATGACACCCAAAGCATAGAAAACCAATGAAATGTGGGAGTCGAGGATGGGGGCATCAATCTACGACTACAGAAATTTGTAGAGAAGCTCTCACTGACTGCCTTGTACAAGTCCTCGGCATTTAAGAACGTGTCGTCGCACCATCAACTTGATTTCATGTATCAGATGACAGTACTACTAACATTAAACTTATCTGGACACGCGCGCTTTGTACCTATCCCTCCTTCGCCTAGATGAGACAGTGAGAGGTCTGCAAGATGTGGTGAGAAGCTGTGTGATTTTATGTTGATGACAGATGGGCCATAAATTACATCTCTTCTACGTCCTCACAGACAGCTCCGTTGAAGATGATGCAGATTTCAAAATTTGCTCCGTTGACCATTCGGACATTGTTAAATGATTCGTCCGCTCCAGATGCTGCTGAGCTATTAGCTCGCCAGCCTGGACACTACTCCAGCAGCATTTGGAGTCACGGATTTTACAGGTCCATATATGCCAATTCATTCATCTTCGAGTATGATCTGAATCCAGTTTGCGAAGTATACCCCGGTGCTGACAACCTCAAACCGATCGACCGGTCTCCAATAAACAAAACCAATCCCCGAGACTCAACTAAGATTGCTGTGAAAACATCTGAAAATTGTGCTGGCGGATGGATCCGAATTCATTCACTGGTGGCATTACCTCTGTCAGAACACTGATCAATTTGGACCAAACGACACACCTACCAACCAGGAGAAAGATGAACACATGACCCACTTCGTCATACGACTACATCCCCAGCATATCCGAACACAGAACACGGTCACATAGAGAATTCAAGTACGCAAGGCAACGAGATATCCTTACCGGAATTAAAAACGCAAGAGTCTTCCCTGAGCCCGTCTTTGCAGCTCCTAAGACGTCCCTCCCACAGAGAGAGTGAGGAATGGAAGCTCGTTGAATTGCGGTCATATGACTATACTTGTTCTCCTTCAGCCCTTTCTTAGTATTTTGAGACAACGGGAGCTGCTCGAAGACTTTCGCACCAGCATAGGGCTGAGAAACGTCGATAACCCCAGGTTTACTTTCTACGGGAAGAGAAATAGCAAGGGGATTTGTACCAGATTGCGGTGCCCCTGCTGCAATTCTTTCCTCTAGTGCCTTAATTTCCTCAGTTTCTTCCATCTTCTTGGTCCGCTTGAATTTACTGTGCTGTTTAATTCCATCTTTTCCTGCTCTGTCCTTGCCCCGACCTCCTTTTTTGATCGGCCCTTTCCCGTGTTTCTTGTCAATCCGAATCTTCTTCACCCCCTCCGCCATCGTGACGAAATCCCCGAAGGAGAATTGACACTACAAATTGCCCACGAACTGCACCATGACCTCGATCGATTGCTGGCTTCTATCGAGCGAGACGTCTTCCAGGGTTTAGGGTTCCTTCGAAGACCGTCCCTCGAGGTTGAAGCAAACCGCAGATCTCCATTTCTCAACGGAGCGACAAAGAGTCGGACCGAAGGTGTGGACAGCGATCCGGTCACTCTCCGGTAATCGGTCATAAAGTCCAAAGAGGCTCTTGTGCAGTAAAGTAACGCGTGCATCCCAATTTCAGCCGAGTTAATTCATCCAACCGTTTCCCGGTAGGCGTCCCGGTGCCCTTCCCGGTTACTTTCTGGCCTTCCGGTAAACTGTGACCGAAGTCATCAGGAGACATATATGCTGTATAAAACATTCCAAATTTCCTAATTATTCGTTTCCGTTTTTTTTTTTCTTCGGAGGGTTCGATGGGTCTTGCCAGACTCAATTTTATTATTATTTTGCCATAGTATATTTTGGTTGTGGTAAGGTTCTATGTCAGGTGGAAAAAAATATGAATAAAAATAGGATGTTCAGAACCGATCAACCTCTAGATGGACGCAACCGAGTGAATATCTGAGCTTGCAGCCCTTCACTGCATTCTTCTTCCTCTGTTCACACTTGAAGTCTCCACTTCCTTTCTTTTGGGAACCAACACGCAAACAGAGGAGGTTAACTAATAAGTTTATTATATTACAGACTCCACCAAGAAAAAGGAAGGACGGAAGAATGAATGCTGGTGCCACAATGATGAGATTTGGACCCTGAGGGCCGCTCAGATTGATGTATAGAACACTACAGCTTTCTACTCGGCCATTTCTTTGAGGTCTCACAATTGGAAAGAAATATCTTTCCTGAATTAAAATGTGCAATGCTTGCTATGTGGATGTGCAAGTGATCACACATTCCTTTACCCTCAATTCAACGATTTTTATAGGAAGTGGACGCCACTATTATTAAACACGAAAAACGATTTCATTCATATTCAGTTCTCATGTTCCTAATACTAAGTTTTTTCCTTAATTGTACTTTCTTCAAATATCTTCCTGAAAAATGTATTCATTTGTTTGCTATCTATTTTTCTATGTGTTGATGTGTGAATTAACATTGCTACTCAGTGCGGAATTGTTTTAGAACATAATTGTGTTAGTATGTTCATTCACTGTACGTAAATGAGTAGTTGCCAGTAAGAGTTTTTAAGAATTAATATTTAACAGAAGTAATGCCCACTGCTTTACTGCTACAACATCAGGAGAAGAATCATGAGAAGTGTCGCAGTACTGTAGTTCTTCTCATGCATGGCAATTATACTCTATATGTACTATTTTAATCGTTCATTTCTCTAACATGAGATGCACTTCTCTTCCACACTTTACAGCCAGGCAGGCAATGTATATTCTTGACGTTTTGGGCATACAATTTGCAAACTTTATTACATCGCTATATCAGAACTAAATCTTACCTATCTTCATTTCGTCAGTCTGTCAATTTAAACACAATCCATTGTACATAAATTACTTCCCTCCTGCGCACAAGTCGAGTCGCATTGCTGATTATTCAAAGCAACACATGCAGTCAATATGTACATTCTCTCATGAAATTGGAGTTGGAGCAAGGGAGGTGACCAGGAAAAGATGTCTCGTTGTGCGCCAGTCACTAGAGCTTCTTATTAACAGGAGCATTTCCGTCTCCGCAAGAGAAATCGGAAAGAATGAGTACAATATGTCACAGAATCGAAACGGAAGGGCTGCTTCAAATGCTTCAAATGCTTCAAATGTCGTCGTCCACTCTCTTCTCTACTCGTGCGCAGCGCCACCGCACTTCCGCCCGGCGGCGTTCTACGTCTACCCAAGATTATCCTTACACCGTCTCCGGATAACTATTCGACCTCTCCAGACACAAATTTTACACGCCGGCGCTCGATCGATCTCTCGATACATCGCTCGATAAATTGCTCGACTGATCGCTCGACGGATGGCTCGATCGATCGCGAGCTCACTTGTCGATGCCCTCGATTCTGTCCTCGACGTCCGAGTACAGCTGTCGCAGGCGCTCGAGGTTCTCCTCGTTCGTCTCCCAGTAGCCTCGTCCGTTCGCCTCGAGGAATGTCGCCACCAGCTTGCGGAACGAGTTAGGGTTCGTCTCCAGCAGCCTCTTTTGCATGGCCTCGTCCTCGATGAAGGTCGAATTCGCCTCCTCGTACACCCAGTTGTCGACCTGGCCCGAGGTCGCGCTCCATCCCATGGTGTTGGTCAGCCTCTTCTCGATTTCGCGCACTCCCTCGTATCCCGACGAGAGCATACCCTCGTACCATTTAGGGTTCAGCATCTTGGTCCTCGCGTCCAGGCGCACTGTCTCCGACAGACTGCGCACCTGCGCATTCGCGGTGGTGGTGTCTGCGATGTATGAGTTCGGCTTCTTGCCGTCCTTGCGGAGGTTTTGGACCAGCTTCGTGGGGTCGGAATCGAAGTAATGCGAGACGTCAGTGAGTGAAATCTCTGACGAGTCCAAATTCTGGAATGTGGCCTCTGCCGTGGCGAGGGCTGACTCGAAGATCTTTCGGTTCTCAGCCATTCCGGCTCCGGGCCTGTCCGAGTTGAAGGCGAACGACTTCCTCGACAGGTACATGTCCTGCAGCTGTTGCTCGTCGTTCCATGACGAATTCTCCACCGCCAGATTCACGTTCGATGAGTACGAGCCGGAAGCGTTCGAGAAAATTCGGGTTGCTGCGTCACGTACTGTGACGTTCAATGATGCAGCTTGCTCAAGGGCGTGCTTGCGCACGAAGTTCATCTCCAATGGCTCGTCGAGCTCAGCCACCATCTTCACAGCCCTGTCGAGAAGGTTCATCTGCACAAACGAAGGATCACGAAAAATTAGAAGACAAAATTCATGATCGGGAGTAACCCCAGGTCATCTCACAGGCAGAATTCTCAACATTCTTGAACTTGTAAAGTAAGTTGGGAATTGAAATTCGAAACTCACCTGATTGATGAACAGGTCTCTGAACACACCGGAGCAATTCACCACAACATCAACACGAGGGCGACCGAGCTCCTCGAGAGGAACTGGCTCAACCTTGTTCACACGACCAAGAGCATCAGGCACGGGTCGTACTCCCACCATCCACAGAACCTGGGCAAGAGATTCTCCGTATGTCTTGATGTTGTCAGTTCCCCACAGAACCAAAGCGATGGTTTCGGGGTACTTGCCGTCATTCTCGAGCTTTTGCCTTTCGAGAAGACGCTCGACCACGACCTTGGCACTGCCCAAAGCTGCAGCAGTGGGAATGGCCTGCGGGTCGAGAGCGTGGATGTTCTTGCCGGTGGGCAGAACCTTGGGGTTCCTGATCGGGTCTCCTCCTGGGCCAGGCTCGACATACTTTCCTTCCAAAGCTTGCTTCAGACCTCCAAGCTCGTTGTCTGCGACCACCTGCTTCAGGCAGAAGGCCAAAAAGTCGAAGGTGACCTTCAATTTATCTCTGTCCGAGTCTCTGAACTTGGTCCTCTGCAGAACCTCCACCCAGGGCTCCTTCCTTCCGAGACCCAATATGTTGGCGAATCCCTCGGCAACCTTCGTCACTTGTCCCCTGCTGTTGGTTGTCCTGTCCACGAAGGCTTTCACTGCCTCTCGGCAAGTCATGGTGATCTCATTCAACAACATGACATCGCTCAGAACTCCCTTGTCGCTGCTTCTGTAAATGTCCTCGATTTGTCGCCCCAAAGATTCAGCCAGAATACCGGGCAAACCGAAGATGTTCTCCTCGGGCCTGTCGATGGCAGCAATGTTGACCAATGTGGCCACAGCCTCTTCTGCGCTTGGAGGTTCACCGATGACGTGCAGGCCGCAAGGCAAGAGACGGGACTCAATCTCCATCAGCTTACCGTACACTCTGCCGACCACAGTGTCACGAGCATCGGAGCTCAGATCGGAACCTTCCTCTGGAAGTTCCACATCCTTGTCGAGGTTGCACTGCTTGGCAGTGGAGATGATTGAGTTGACAATCTGAGGTCCTCTGCCAGTGTCCTTCAGCGACTGGTAAGAGGCGATCAGCTCACTCAGCTGCTTCAGTCCCTTGTACAGACCGGCATTCTCAGCAGGGGGCGTCAAGTAACTGATGGTGTTAGCATAACTCCTTCTCTTGGCGATGGTGGCCTCAGAAGGGTTGTTGGCAGCGTAGTAGTAGATGTTGGGAATGTTACCGATCAAGGAATCGGGGTAACAGACATCACTCATACCGACTTGCTTTCCGGGCATGAACTCCAAGGAACCGTGGGTACCGAAGTGAAGCACAGCATCGGCCTTGAAGATCTTCTCCAGGAAAGTGTAGTATGCAGCGAATCCGTGGTGAGGACTGGCAGACTTGGCGAACAGCAACCTCATGGGATCTCCTTCGTATCCGAAGGTGGGCTGGACGCCGATGAAGACATTTCCGAATTGCTTTCCGTAGACGAGCAGGTTCTGGCCGTCGGAGTTAAGAGTTCCTGGGGCTTTTCCCCAGCTCTCTTCGAGTGCCTTGGAGTATGGGGTCAGCCTCTCGTACTCGCGCACTGGCATCTTGTAGGCGATGTTCAGGTCGGGGCTGCTGAACTTAGCTTCCTTGTCGTGAATAACTTCCTCGATCAAAGCTTCGGAGGACTCCGGCAGACCCTCCACGTTGTAGCCATCTTCCTTCAGCTCCTTCAACACGCTGTAGATGGAGGAGAACACATTCAAGTAGGCGGCAGTTCCGACGTTACCCTTGTCTGGGGGAAAGCTGAAGACGGTGATTGCCAATTTCTTTTCGGCCTGCAAACAGGAGATAAATTCGTGAGATTTAATCACCCTATCATGAAAAGACAAGCCACTTTCCAAAGGCAATTGCATCTTCGACTATTGAGTAAATTACAGAAAACTTCTAGTCTTGGAAAAGTTGCAGAGGAGATATCAGACAACAATAATTCACATTCAATCCAATTCACCTTGTCCTTGCGCTTCAATTTGGCCCAGTTGATGGCACGAGTGCAAAGCTGCTCTACACGGTCGTGGAGAGCATGTGACTTTCCTGCATATCACAGGGTTGGGTCAGTTTCAATGGAACTCAGGCGGTAGACATTCTCACAATGATGTTGGGGAAATGCATCAGACTTCCTATATCCACTAAAGCTGTTGAACTCGACTGTTTCATTCGTGACTAATCCCTAACGAGGGCAAGACAAATACACATGAAGACAATGCATGGAAAGCAAAAGTCTGACTGAAATAAAACATACCGGTTCTGCTGTCCCTTCCAGAAAACACAATGGGCTCCAAACCTCCGTCCAGCTCGGGGAGAGCAACCTGCAGAGCAACTTGGATAGGGTGCAGTCCCAAAGAGCTGTCCAACCACTCCTCCGTGGTCTGGAATACCAATGGCAATGCCACCAGATACGGGACGTTCAACTTCTGAAGAGCCTGGATGGCTTTGGGATGATCCTGGGTAGCGGGTCCTCCAACAAGGGCGAATCCAGTCAAGGACACAACAGACTGTACCAAAGGCTTTCGGGTGATGGGGTCATAGAAGAATCTATCGACAGGGGTGGAGAAATCGAGTCCACCGGCGAAAATGGGAACAACTTTAGCGCCCCTGGCTTCCATTTCCATGACCACTGAAGCGTAGTGACCATCGTCTCCGGTGACGATGTGACTTCTCTGCAGGATCAATCCAACGACTGGAGCATCTGGCCTCTTCAGCTCGGCGCTAGCATCACGTCTAGTGCCATACCAGTTAAGGTATTCCTTGATGTCGTCGTACATGGTCGGCGCCATAGGGTGCCAGATACCAGTGTCGAGGAAGGCTACGGGCTCATTGAAGTCCAATGTACTGTCCCTCAAGGCGGGTACGTATGAGTTCGAAATCATAACGAGGAAGTTCTCCAAATTCTCGGGAGAGCCACCGAGCCAGAACTGCAAACTCATGATGAAATTCCTTGCATCTTGCGCTTTGTCGGTGGGCAAGTACTTCAGTACCTTCGGCAGAGTCCGGATCAACTTCAGCATACCCTCCTCGAAATTGCCTCCAGACTCCTTGCGCTTCCTGCGCATGAATTGGGCAATGGCACTCTTGGACTGACCAAGCTGAGACATCGAGAAAGTTCCGAGCTTGTTCAGCCTCATAACCTCGGGCATGGATGGGAAAACTAAAATGGCATCCATCCTATCTCTTTGAGGTTCCAGAGCGGCTTTGACTTTAGTTGCCAACTCCTCGACGAAGATGAGTGACCCAATGAAGATATTGGCATCCTCCAGATCCTTCTTGAAAGTTTCATAGTTTTCCGCATCCCTGAGCTCCTCAACCAAGTAACCAACTACCTCGACTCGCAAATCCTTCCTATTCCTGTTAATGTTCCTCACTGCAGCTGACAGGGAGGACTGATACTGTGCCTCCAAGACGACGTACACGACCTTGACAACGGGAACTCCAGGGCGGGCCTCAGGCACAATTCGACGGACTTCAGGGCGGGTAGATGTGAACATGCCCCCTCCGATAGCGCTGATACCCTGCTAAGCAATCGACGTTAGTCCCAGCATTAACCATATGACTTCCAGATGACATTGCTCTGTCACAGGAACCTTCCATTTGCAAATTGAGGTTGTGCGAACGATAGGCGACCAACTACAAGAGATTTGAAGAGTGCATAAATCACTGCCAAACATACCTTTCGGATGGACTTTGCAGCAACAAGAGGTACGGAGCTAGACAGGATTTTGTCGGCCTGCAAGTGGATTCAAGAAAATGTCAGGACGTTACCCAGCAGGCAGCACATAATTCGGATCCAGGAGGAACGATGTTGGAAACAGAGTCGTGTGTGACTCACTTCCTCAACCAACTAAAAATCAGAACAGAACTTGAAGTGGAAAAGTGAGATGGGCAGCACTCACTGATTTTCCCAGACGATCCACATCGTTGGCGAGGCGGACACCTTCGAAATTAGAGTTGAGAGCGGCTGCATAAGTCACATGGTACCAATTAGATTTTACCGCAATCAGGGCCTGAACTGATGTAAAATGTTCAAGAGCACTAGTGTAAAGAGGCTTAATCATGTCTTCACAGTTGCTCCTCGGCGAGCAGGTCAATTGGTGTGCAATTCAAGACTTGTTTCATAATGTTGAACTTTTTGGACGTGCGAGGCCCTTGAGACCGACAATTTCCATTCAGCTCAATTCAAATTGGAAATGCTACACAGCGCTAGACTTCGGAGACAGAGGCATTGCCGATGTACAAGGAGTACAGACGAGATATTCAAATTTGTAACAACTCGACACACATCTGATAAAAGTATGATCAGCTCGAAGGAGAGTCGTCATTGCCGCACTCAGCCACAAACTTGAGGACTTGAGGACCACACATCTCTATGCTCCAAACAGTAGCTAGCCTGACACCTGAACCAAGTGGGTACCTTTGCATTGAGTCCTTGGGGCACGAGACGACGAGGGCGTGCTTACGGCTGGAAGATGAACGGCGGAAGTTGATATCACAGTCATGCCAGTCGCCGCCATGACTGCCAACCTACAAACCGGAAACTCAAGCTTAGCGACCGACCCAATGTAAGAAGTGCAAAGACCCCACAACTGCGCAAATGCTGACCCAGCATTCAAATTCTGGCTTCCGAACTAACATCCCAGCTGCGAAACTAAGAGCAACTACAAGTTCCCAACAGCTGCATCCAAAACTCGACCACGCCTTCTCAGAACTGGAAATCGTTTACGACTGCAACGCACCTACAGTAGATCTCACAAAGCACGCAGTGGTCGTGTTGTGTCCCTGGGCGATTTTCCCTTGCACCTTTTCCTTTCCTCGTGAGCTCCTATACAACAACTGTCCCTCTACTTCCCACCAGTGTCTTCTATTTGATCACTTCTCTACTCTGCGGTCCTACGGCCAATGTCTGGGATAAGAAGACCACGACACTACTACGACAATGGAAGGTGCACTCTGTTTGTTATCGTCTCTCTTCTCTGTCGCTCTCTCACTCTCTCTCTCGCCCCGAATCCGATGCAATGGACGGGAGAAGGCTAGCGGCACGTGGCCGATCGAGTGCCAATCAGGCTCGAATGAACGAACTCGAGTCACCTCCGAATTGCAATAAATCTGCTCTGGAATGCACTGACAAAAACCTCTGACACCCGAGCGCTGCTCGCCTCAAGATTCAAGGCTCACAGCTCGAAGCTCAAGGCTCCCCTCGCCCCCCCCCCGAGACCCTGTCGTCGGCCCCGTTCGGATTCGAGCGAGTGCCTCAACTCTCAGGGGAATGAACAAACGGCGAAACTCTTGCGCGACTCTTGCTCTCTCTCGACAGCTTCCCCTCCGGCGCTGGTGGAGCCCCTGCCACGGCGTCGACCAACCGTTCGCCCCCGTCTATACCGAAGCCCTATCTGGTTCCCGACTCGCTCATTGGAAATCTGACAGAAGATCCTCGCCGCTCGATCGAAAATCCGACGGCCTTTATGACGCAGGTGAGAGACGGGTTCGGCTGACCGGGGTTGGGTTCAGACGGTTTCGGCTGACCGCGATTCGGCCGCGGAGGTGGTCCCGTCCGACCGGGTGGGCTCCGGAGCCGCGCTCGGCGCCGGCAATCCGGTTGTGGGTGACGGGCGATCGTCTGGATGAGAGGATGTAAGATGCTGGATTGGGTTGCGCTGCCTCCCATTGGTCGGCCTGATCCTCGAGACATCCGAGCTCTCCGGTTCCCTTTCGGACCCTGAGGTGGGACCCATCCGAACTCTCCGACGCGTGTCCTCCTCAGGTTTGCGTTCATGCCGAGGTTCGAGTCCATCCTCGCATCGAAGCATTCCGGACCTCATGACTTGAAACACATTCCACGTCATCGCCTCCCAGCTCATAGCAGCTACGTATCTGAAATCGTATACTGTATAAAGGCGCACTTGGCTCCCTACTCCCCACGTACGAAGGAGGCACCCACCTTCGGGGAACCCATCGGCGGGCCTCATTCGCTGGGAATATTCTGGGCCCCACTTACTTGCGCCTTTTCGAGAACGGAGAACCATTGGATGCGTCGCAAAGTCCCGTTTCGGTACATTCTCTCCACGAGGTCCTCTTTTCGCCGCCCCTTTTCGCTCTCTTTGGGCGCGTAGTTACCCGGCGACGAAGGTAAGAATCGGCGGGCGATTCGGCCGAAAAGTGTGACGGGTCCAGCTTTTCGAGAGCTGGCGATGATGGGCGCCACGAGCGGGACCTCGTGGTGGTGCTCGGCCAATCGCGACGCTTGTTTAAATTTCCTGGAGCCTTGCGCCACCCGCTGTCAAGGAGATCATCTGCACATCCTGCCCGTCACTCATCTCTCAGCGCCCGGTAACTCGGTATCTGAGCTCGGTGACTGGGTGATTTGCAAGGATAAAGAGAGTACACGTAGTTTACTGGACATGACCCTAGGTGAATCCAGACTGACCGCCTCGACAGTGTAACTTAGGGTCAGTAAATCCTAGCTGACCCTATGTTACACCAGCCCTCGGTTGAAACATTTGACCAGCGTCGTTGCACTTGCGGTTTAGTTGTAACGACGATAACATCTGCTTCTTTATTGGATATTTCATTTATTATTTATTTATTTATACCATATTCCAAAATTTGAAATATGTTTACTTATTCGCGAAGTGGAAATAGTTTTCTCTGTGGAATTTTCACAAATAAGTGAACCTAAAGAAGCTAGAAAATCAGTTTCTCAGCTGTAAATCTTTGTGTTCGATAAGAACCTTAACAGAACAACCGATAAATTTGATATACAAACCGTAACTCTCAAGTTTAAAGATGAGTCCAATTTTTGCAAGGTAGTTAAACTTTGTAAATAATTGATAGTCAGAATTGTAATTGATTTGGAGGGTCACATTACAAACACTTACAAACCAACCATCGATTTCTTACAATGAACGAATAGGTTCTTTGTTATTCTACCCTCGGAGAAATATAAAACTATATTTGTGAAAGATTGCACGCGAGACTTATAAGTATGGGATATGGATATCACTCTCTTCAATCATCTTTCATACCAATTTTGAAACATTGTGTATTGTCATCTATAGAGGAATACACAATGTACATTAGAATCTAAATCTTCTTAGTCAGCATTGGTTGGTGATATTTATAAAAGGTCAATCATTTTGCGCATGCAATAAAGGTTATAGTGTCACCTAAATATAAAGCATCTTACATATACAACAATATATATTTCCCTATACCGATCCGGTTCCATATGTGGACAAAGGGATGATGTCTTCTCTTAGTTTCCGCCACAATACAAAGTTTCCCCAACTTTTACCCAACAGAAATTTCGGTCGGGTGCATAGCACAGTAACTAAATTAGACGGAGAGTTGACCGACCAAATATTCAAACTGACATCATGATGGGACGCCAAAAACGGAAACGACGATGTCCGGGTGGCCAAATTAGCCGGGGCGCGGAAATTAGTCGAGGCATGTCGTGAGGCCGAGGTCGAGGTCGATGTCGATGTCGACGTCGGAGCACGGGCTGGAGCCAGTCATCATGAGGGCGGACGGACGGGCAGGAATCTAGACCACCTGCGGGCGGAGGTCATTTCTTCGGTAGATATTTGCAGGACGGGGCACGAGAGAATATGCTTCTGGTCCTTGTGCGTCTGACAGCATTTGGGCGCCGAGTTTCTACCACAAGGGGTTGAAATATCTGCAGCCCCGCTGCTGATCTTTTGGACCTACTGCCACTTTCTGATGTCAAAAGCGAGACACGCGTTCGCTCCGAGCTGCGACCCTGGTGCTCCAGTTTGTGGATATCTGCTTTTGCTCGTGTAAAATATCTCTTCTCTCTCTCTCTCTCTCAACCCCTCTATCTATCTGCTCCTTGTCCACTGTGCAGTGTACCTCTCGATTTCATCATGCTTGAGTACCACGTCGTTTACATTTTGAGCTGACTATGAATCTCGATTGATTTCTTCCTCTCCAGCATGATGTCAAATCCGACCCCTTTGATTTCATCCGTATAACACTCGATGGGGCTTTCTGATCCTTTCTGCTGGCAGCTGTCGAGCCAAATGGCTTCTGTTGTCTGCGACGTACTGTACTGAAGGCGTGAGGAGGAGTCTTGGCCTCACATGTTGCTGCCTTCCTCCATTGCCCTCAGACTGGAGGTGTTGGGAAAATGGTTTTCCCTCGTTTGAGAGAGGGATTGTTGGCACTTGATCTTTTTGAGGGACAAGAAGGAGCCAACTTTTGAGTTGCCTGGTGCCTTTTTCTTTTTCTTTGACCCGGGGATCCATTGGCATTAATATTAATATCAGAAACATAAATTACTTTCAGAGTACACACGACCTCACAAATTCTCTCCGCCTTCACATGTTTAATTTCTTTGATCGATTAAGGGAAAATTTGGGTTGTCATGTTCTACCCTTTCCTTTAAAGTGAGCAAAAGTAAGCTAAAATCCTTTTTCGAATTAAGAATTGTCTTTTAGTTCTTGCAATGACATTAGCGGAGGAGTCGCTACTTACTAGTTACTTACTTACTGCTCCCCTATATTATGAGAAGGTTGCATGACATACTCACTATATAACGTGGTGATCGCTGTGATAGACTGCATTGATTGTATTATTTATTTTTCTTCATTATGTAACTTTCACTTTGGTGCGTTCTCGAATTAGTTTCAATCTCCTAACACGTAATTAGCACAAGTTTGATAAATTTGAGGGTCTTCATTTCCATCACAAAGCTGGTAAGTTCTAAGCTAAAGACTGGAGTTTTCCTCCTATATCACAAAGTAAAAGGGAATAATCTTCGCGTCTTGATCCCCAACACGAGGTTATGAAAGAAATAAAAAAAAATCATTTCAAATATTGGGCAAAATACCCATATATTATGCATTATGAGTACGCCCTTGCCTTTAAAACAAAAAAACAAAAAAAAAAAAAACCACCTGCTGCGTTCCAACTTCGGTTGTGGGACTCAATCTTTGGAAGTAAAGCAGAATTGAGCTTTGTTTTGGAATCATGTACAGAACGAAACCAACTATGCATAACCTACATTGGTAACACATTGTTTGATGTAGCGCATACTTCAGTGCTCTTGGGCAGCACATTTTTTTCAACATAAAATGTGTAAATAATGTATTTATTACCCATCCTGATCAATGAATTTGCCGCAGAATGTAAGCTCATAGATAATCTTATAGAGAGACACATTGTACACTACTATGATGACAGATCGAGAATTCTTCAGTATCTCCAATCATTCCACATGAAAGAAGTATTAACTATGATAATTAAAAAAAAATATCGTGCATTGTGCTCAAACAAAATTAATAATGAATCATTGGAAACACAGTGTAAGATCGAGGTGGTTGCTAAGAAGACAAAAGTGTTGATCCCTATTGCATCGCCGCCAGCAACACATGAACTAGTCAAAGTTTATGCTACATGGGAAAGTAAGTCATGTGATTACAATATAGGACCCAAACTGGAGTGTGATCCGCACTAGAAGCCGGTGGATTAGGGCACAGTTTGTGGGAGTTCATTATCAGGATAAAAGAAAATAGAGAGAAAACTTGAGGATGTCAACGAAGAACGGGTTTTGTGATCTTGTGAACTAGTTGGGCACCACAATGATACTTTGCGGAAGTTTGGACTTGCTTCTAAGAAGTACATTCATTTCAATAATCATGTTTCTATTTGGAATGTTGACATGTGGCGACGAATCAAAAGGAAGGAGGGAAGATCATAGACAAAACAGATATGTGGACGTTGAACAGATTGCGAAGGAGGCGTTGCTTCATCTTGATGTTTGAGGAGTACAAATTAGAATCAACTTCAGCGCTAGTTTTCCTGAATCACTTTTGTCATTTTCTTATGATAAATTATCATGTTTGTTAATAAACATGTTTTGTTTTGTTGCATCCCTTTGACTCTGAATTGAAATTATCAAAGAAATTATGAAAATGATCAAAGATCTCGGGGATGACGTATCTTTATCATGGTATGATATCGTCCTTGCATGTACTTGCTCCAAAGTTGATGTTGCGAGCAGGTATAATCGTACCAAGAACATTTTTCAACACCAACTTAGTTATCAAATTGTCATGTGGACATTAACCTGGAACGACATCAAGGATTAACACCATCATAACCATCTAGGTGGCTATGGAGGAGTAGTGCTCAAATTTTCACTTATGTAAAAAATAAAAAATAAAATCCTTTTGCTACCATATATCATCTCAGAAACCAAGTGGACGGAAGGCTTACAGAACGCTAAGGATGAAGCATATACAATTAAAATTTCCCGCAGTGATGAGCTCAATGCAGAGATGCATGAGTCAAATCTATCTATAGATGTATTGATGTTTATGAAATGGTAGTTTTTCACTAAATATGAGATTTACGCCATGATTCTTACAATTTTGCCAGAACTAACCAATTTTGGCAAATTTTTACCTTAATTCTGGCATTTCTGTCATATCAAAATTTTATGGACGTATTTTCATGTATTCTATTCTTGGCTACTCTATATAAAGCTTCTTCACTAATAATATTGATAAAAAAATCCATAAGATATATACATTTTCTGAAGTTTATTACACAAATCAGGCTAACTTCAATAAACCTTTAATTCATGTAACACTGCAATTTTCATAGATTATGTCTCCTTCATAATTGAAAACATTATATTTTTATTTTGGTAGATTGTTGTTGAATTTTGTATATCACCATATATTGAATAATTACTTCACTTCGAATTTATTTTTTCCAAAAAATAAATGAAATAGATTAAACTCAATATAAAATTAGAAAGGCATCGTATATGACTTTCTTAGAGAAGTAAAAAAAAAAACATGTTAAAATTTTCAGATTTTCATTTTTCCATTACTATGCAGTTCCACCACCCATTAAATCAAGTAAAAATTCTAGAAAAATAAACAATAACAGGAAAGTTTTTCACATCACTTGTGTTTTGTACTTTAATTTAATATAATTCAATATAAATATATTTCATTGTCAAAATTTCTCTTTAGAATTTTTAATAATGATCGTTATCAAATTTTTTTAAAATTTCAACAACATGATTTTCATGTAAATTATGTCAAGGTTGTGTACGTGAGTAATAAATATTTTCATGTAGATAATTCTAGATGCTAATAAGAAAATTAATCCATTAAGAGTTTTTCTTCGTAATTTTTTTACTACTTTTATTTTTAAAATATTTATCTGTTTAATGTATAACTACCTTCAATACAAATAAAAATTGAACACACATGTACATGAATGGAACATATGGTCCAGGATTATTGTATAATATAGAAGTATGAAAATTGCATCGTAGTCTATGTGTACAATTTATAAGAAAGATGAAAAATTTTTATTTTGAATATTATTAAAATAAATATCCGAAATCTAACTATTAGACTCTGTTAAATACATGTAGATGTTCCTATTTATCTCAGAAAATTCAAGATACACAATCAAGGTGAAAATAAATATTCAAAATTTTTTCATTCTCTTTTAATATTGTGCAAAATGCTGAAGAGTATTGACGAGATGGCTGCGCAGATGGTCTCTGGCCTGCTCGCATACATAATTAAATTATGGCACTTTGTCAATCTAAAATTCCAATTAGAATGCCAGATTTTATGAGGCCTCGTTTACGCTGAACTCCACGGCCGACGAGGAAGGAAGAAGCTGCGGAGTGGGGGTTGCGTTTTAGCTCGTCAACTTCAAACGTATTGCTATATAAGTACCCACTTCTGGATGACTCTAAAACCCACAACAGCTTGCAGTTCAAAGGTTTGAAATCATATTTTTTTAAATCTGTTGCAGAGCATCAAGTGGCTGTAGTTTAGTGGTGAGAATTCCACGTTGTGGCCGTGGAGACCTGGGCTCGAATCCCAGCAGCCACAGTTTTGTTCTCCTCCGTTTTCCCTCCCGAGGAATTCGTGCGTCGATTATTCCCACGGCGTGAATTTCCGCATTGTTTTAGTTTTATTTTCTTTCATTTCTGTCTCGGCCTCCCCTCTCGAATAGATTGCGAGACGATTATTCCCTCGTTTCAACAACCCTTTAGATAGCATGACAGAAATGTATGACGTCGTAAAAGTAATGATAGAGATCAGAACTACAGAGCGTATGACGATCAAATAATCGTTACTCGGTAAAAGGATAAGAAAGGAAAAAAGACGACTGGAGTTCGAGGTTTATCGCATTGAGTTCGACGATGGTAGCGAATAAGGCTTAAGAATTCGATGAGTCACACAGGAATCGGGACAAATTGTCGATATCTGCTCGCTTATCTGCAAATTTCAATGCAAAATGTACCCACTCTTCATGCTTCTCACAGACCTTCTAAACGTATGTTGGAATAGTCAGGAATGAAACATCGTACTTCGTTCGTTATTGCGGTTCGAGCGGATCGTTGGGATAAGCAAGGGATCCAACATGTTGCTACAATCAAGAAGTGCACTTTGTTCTCGTCTTTGGCTGCCCTGAACTTGTTATCTTCTTGAGTCACGGAAGAGAACTTCTCTTATTTCGGAGCTTCTGTCATCATACTGCTTATCAACACGAGAAGTTTGACTTTCACTGCAGCCAATCATACTTCGCGCCCAGAATGTCCAGAAGGACAAAGGGAATCATCTTTATCTTCAGTCACAAGCACGTGAAGTCATTCATAAGACTTTGTGTACAGGTGAAATGCTCGGTGACTGCACTTTGGTCCCACAGTTGGTAAAAGATTCTACACTAAGCTTGATTGCTATGGAGAAATCAGTGCATCGTCGAGATAAAAGCAGTTTACTCCATGTCAGTTCTCCGTAGATGTGAATGTCATTATGATCCGAAAAGACTATGACAAGTCTCGTCCAATGCTTAAGCTTTCTCTTAGATATATCAACTTTTTTGAAAGATTGCCGAAGCTTTGTAATGTGTTTCCACAAATGTCCAGATGTCAAAATCTCTCTACCCCAAATTGTTGCTCGATCTTCGTAATCGATTGCAACAGAAGCTTCAATGACTTGGAACTTTGTAATGGTAGGGTATTGGTAGGGTAACTGTTAAAAATTTGGAATGCTTTCTGTAGTTTTCCTGTGCTACAACTTCACCACTTTTATAGGAAGCCAGAAATTATTCTCTTGCTTTGTGGATGGGAATTGAAACCTTGGGCCAATAAAATTCCTTCATAACGTACCCCGGAGAGTGCTAGGCTATGCATTCTGCACCTTTGGCCTTCGCTTTGAGAGAACTTATTTTCTCCTTTGAGTGAAGTACGAGATGCCAAGTAGGACCTGCGCTAGAAGCAAGGTGTGCAGTCCAATCGCACTGACTGGTTTGTTCTCTTTCGGTTTGAGCAAAGGTTTATCTATAATGGTTGTGTCGTGAACATACTCACATAGGACACACCAGAATCTTAACTTTTCGTCTACGACGTTTGAGAATCAATCTTTGAACATCTTCCCATTTATCTGAAAGAATGAATATGGAATAAATTTAGTTATGTTTATACGAATAAGGCCTTACTATACATTTATGTCATGATATGATAATTATGAACTAGTTGCTTTGTTTCTGGGTATAGCAATTTAAGCAAGATGATACTGAGACTTATGAGACCATAATTCTCATTCCGTTCAATCATACTTGAGAAAAGATGTATTCATAACCGAGTAACCATCTTTTGTTAAGGCTTCAATCTGTTACGACACCTATACAGCCCGCGGAACAACTATATTTCTTTCACTTCTGCAACATTGGTTTCAATGTTTTCTCGTCTCATGCAATTGCTCAAAGTCCATGGTCATAATGATCTTAGTTTGGCAAAATTGCAAAAGTGACCTTTCGATGCTCTCCTCGACTTTCACCTTGAGTACAAGCAGATTCTGACTAGTCTACACGACAAGACTCTGATTGACATGTTGCAGTGGAAGAAGCTCCGTTCTTTTGATCGAGCAGACAATTGAGCGTTGCAATTGACACATACCGAGGATATGTACGAATAGCCAAGACACACCCTCGTCTTCATGAAAGACGAACGGCAAGTTAAATCTTCTACTTAAGAGAATGACGCATACGAATGTGAAGACCCAAATCAATTCTACTGTGTAAGAAAACTCAACTGTTCTTTCCCAGAGACTTGAGACGTACGACTTGAACACTCAGAAACCAGGTGTTTGAAAGCATGGTGAGTGTCCATTGTCTGTGACGTTCGAACGCTACCGTGAGTGACGGTTAGTCCTTCCAAGGAGACATAATACAAAGAGATTCGGCCCATGTAATGACATCAACTTCCATAGAGAAAATGCAATCTCGATGTCAACTTTTCGGCATTGGCATTGGCGTGTGCAGACATTAAAAGATGCAGGAACCCGAAAACATCAATATGATTGGTATGTGTGCAAAAAGAATCCATGACAGGCAACCCTCTTATAAAAATGGAGAAGTCATGCCTAAAATTGCGTTGAAATACAGTTATTGTCTTTGACTTGGCAGCCGTGAAAGGAGAATGTATAGACAGAGTACTGCACAAGGCAGATGAATGACTAAGATGTGAGGGAGAAGTGCACTACGCCACTGCAGCAAGCTCTCCGCGAAATTCCAAACATTTTCCGAGTTTATATCTAGAAGATGCCCGTAGAAACTCCAAATAAGCAATGGTAACCCAATTGGTGACATTGCCAGAGTCCACACGGTTCCCACGGCTGAAGCAGCAATGCCAACAACACTCTTCACGTCACTGTGAGCATACCTCCAGCTGTGTTGGATAGGAAAAACGCCGAGGCACATGGGTACTAAAGTCAAAGCACCAATCAAAGAAACTGGGAAGTTGATAGTCGACATCACTGCGAGGTCTATTGCCGTGATGCCAAGAGTTACTGCTTTGACGACTGTCCAGCTTTGGGTATGTGCCTGTGTGCTTCTTTTGTAATGCATACTGCCTGTCAAAAATTTCTGCACAGTGAAAGCTACCAGCAAGCTAAGAGCCACCACCCCTAACCAGCAACGCAGTTTGAACTCCGCAGTCGTCTTGGTTCCGGAGATCAAAAAGAGGGCCAATGCGGCGAAAAAAGCCCATAACTGGACTGCACCAACTAGTACCAAAGCTTCCAACCAACTCCCTGAATCATCTGCGCCGGACTTCCTTTCAAGCCTCTGCTTCTTAGCTCTTTGCTTTGTAGAGTTGATCTTTGAGGATTGAGTAGAAACATCTGTAGTTGCTGACCCGGCTTCTTTTACAGGGTAACACAGAGCAGCTGCTTGAAGAGGGAGACTCAGCACCAGAAGCCCAAAAGGAATCATGTACACTCCCACGGAAATATACTTGTTTAAAGCAGAAAGGAAGTAAAGAAAAAAAGACTGGTGCCACTTCTCGAGCAGGTTGTTGACAGATCGAATAACTCCTTCCAAGTGTCTGCCCACAACGGTAACAAGAAATAACACATAGTAAGATACAATTGTTGAGCTTATTAAAGATAAAACCAGTACAATGGGTGCCAGGATATCAGAAATCCAACTGTCATCCCATCTCCAGTATATAACTCATGTTGCAACTACCCTAGTTACGTTTCTTTAGAGCTGCACGAGTCAAACGTGTTTCCTACATGTCCAATTCAGGAGGAACAGCAAGAAACCAAGAATCTTGCAATAGCTCTTTGAGACATTACCTGCCAACCTTCGCCAAGACGTAATCCTGGCCCTGAGTTGGGATGATGAACTGTAAAGTGATTGCGTCAATTTGATAATCTCTGAAAGCTCCATGTGCACCTGTTGGTAAACCTATGATCTGTGTGTATAGACATATGAATAAAGGTCAAATTGTAAGTTTGACCTTTATATGACCTTTTTATGATAATCAGGCCCCGCTCAGAAGTAAATTACGTATTCTTGCTGTTACAGAAACATAGTCAACCATATAATTCAGTGGACAGCTCGAAGATGAATATCCTCTCTGATAGCTACGTACTGACAGAGGAGACCAGGCTGTTGCAAACATTGTATCTCAGCCCTGAATGGGATGGACATGCCAATAACAATGCCAGACAAAGAGAGGAACCTACTTGAAAAAACATAGAGCTGAAGAGCGTTGCCATATTTTCAGCATAAGTTGCTGCGGGTAGCGCAAAACTCCAACTCGGAGTGATTACTCTGGTCAACTTGTTGATTTCTTCAAATACCATACCAACCGTCTTCAACCACGTCCAGCTTTTAATTCCGGGGATAGTCTCCAGGCGCAGTTGCAAGCTTTCCCTGTAAACGGCAATGGAGTTCACAACGTTTATGAAGTCCAAGTTCGGCATCTGCCCGTTCGGACCCTCTGCCCAGACAGTGATTGTATCGACTCCTCCTTGCCTTAGTCCAGACTTCAGTTCATATACTAGACCAGTTGCAATCGTGCCGGCACGTTTGAAATCTCCAAGAGTCTGAGAATCGATCAGCTGTTGGGAGGATTCACCATCTTCAGATAAAGTTTTCCTCAATAACTCCAACTTCATATCTTGGTGTGAAGAGATGTGATTGATCGGCGGATGGTGGTATTCTTCCAGCCAGTTCGCAACTGCAGGGTAAACACCGTACTTGCTATCAGGGACCAGCCACACAATATCCCTCGCTAGCCATAGGGCCTGGGAGAGTCTGGAGAAGAGTGCCAATCCCATTCCAAGAGTCAAGGCACTCTCATGCCAAAAATCATCTGGATCATATGGAGTAACCAGTACAACTGCTTCGTTGCCTTCGGCTTGTGGAGCCCGAATTATACCAACCACACTCATTGCTGAAGGCGCCTGTTCCTCCAGATCACCACCAGTAACGCTAGCATTTGACGTGTTCCACTTAAAATGTCCAGATGATGTAGGAAATCGCGTTGATGACAAAGCTGAAGCAGGAAGGGAGAAAGGGTGCACATAGCAGTCCGCTCCAGTAGCCGTCATCTCCTCGATTAGCCACTTTGAAACAGCCCTGCATCAAACAAAACTTTCACCCATAAAATGCATGTGTAAGATCTTACAATAAAAGAGGTCAAGCTGCAGACACTGTCTCTTCTACAATTCGATCTCCATGTCTTATCTATGGAATTATTGATGACACACGATTGCACTTTTGATGAAAAGCTTCAAATATTGTTGGGTAACTGGTAATTAAGCAATGTGTTAAAACATGCGGAATGAAATATTCCTGAAAAACTAGCTTGCCTAAATCAGCGTATAGGTAGCTTAAAAACTCACCTTTGAACATTCACATTCTGAGACACCAGCCTCTCAAGTTCTTCCGCTGAAGAGCGTGCAAGCAAGGTGTCGGAGTTGCTGAAAGCAGCGTTCCCTGACCCTAAAAGGTAATTAACAAAGACTGAGAGATAAGTTTACTTGCAAGCCACAGTGCAGCAGTACATAATACTCTACCTTGACTTACGAGTGTACTACAAGAACTGACTTAACATAGTTCCTGACAAAATGGGTAGTGGAACAGATGTCACAAAAACCCAAGTAACTACTCGAAGACTTCCGTGCGACAGATGATATCTTGTACGAGTTCCTCCAAAAGATACCTCAATCTGGGGTCTAGACAGAGAAAAAATGGCCAGAATCGCAGACTCATTACACAATTCAAAAACACTCACTGGGCTAGAAGGTGAGTGTTTTAGGACGGCCCCTACCTGGCATAAGTGCGTTCTCCGATATATATGTATTTTTTGCCAGCATAGGCAAAATAAGGATTGCCACGACACCCGCAACGTAGCAGAAAAAACTGCAATGCACCCAAAAAAGATGTCACCACATCAAAAGAATGGAGCAGACTCACCAATGCCAGCGTATCTACGGCACGCATCAAATTTGTAATCAAGATGCAAAAGACAGCACACATTAAAACTCGGAATGTGGAATCTCTTGAGAGAATTCACATCTGCTCCTTGTTTAGAGAAACATGCGATATTACACTTCACGAAATACAGACAGGGCAAAGTAGTTGGGATCCACTGCAAAGAATTTGACTTCAGAACTCGCATCTTGCACTACTGTCAGGACTTCAAGTTGTACTCGTGCTCCAAGAGCCCTATCACTAAATGGGATGTAATTGTAACCTGATAATGTGGACGTGGAGAATGAGCTGACGTCCAAGACGCACCAGCGGCCGGGGTTTAGGTTCCACACTCCGCTCTTCTCCTGTCGCCGACTTCGCCATCGCGGGAAGAGAGCACAAGCTGAGCGCCTGTCAATCCAACTCCCCTGATCTTTCCTTCCTCCGAATGGAAACGCTCACTCGATCATGTCATCATCATAGCAATTTATTGAACCCGGTCAACGACCGACCGATCGCATAATCTGCAGGTGGGAGGAGGACGAAGGTCGCAGCTGCTGCCGATCTCACGAAACCTTCGATCACGAATTGAAGCTTCTGTCGATCCGACGCATCTCCCGCACAAACACAAATTGCAGCTCCGAAGCCTCACTCCCATATCACGTACTACGTACCAAACTGTGACTGCGTAGACAACTGCGACTGCGTTGTCCATTGGTGGAACGGATCTGAACTGAACATCTGAACATTGGTGGATCTGAACGGATCTGAACTGAACTGCGCTGCGCTGCACTGCTAGTGTTTCTGAAGGCCCATTTGCCTGGTCTATCGTCCTGGATCACCACCGCACATGGTTCGAACCCAGGGGTTAGAATTCATCCAATCTAAAAGTGAGAGTCAATTTGAGTTCTTTGATAAACTAAAGCCTCGTTTGACTAAAGAACTCGATCATTCTCCCGAACCAGCTTTGACCTTCAGCCAGCAATTTGATACAACTTATACGATAGAGCAATAAATTACTCTGCAAAAATTAAAGCGAAACCTCTGCACGTGGAATCCATATCAGAATATGAACATCATCGGAGAGAAATAAAACAAGTGTAGTGGAGTAAAGGAAGAAACTTGGTGTTCAAAGGTAGATGGATAGGAGAGTCACTCTAGTTTCCACATCCTCCTCCATCGTCTTGATATCTTATCGTTGCAATTTGAATTTGAATTTTCATATCAGTATATACTATTGAGTTCATAAGTCGGGAACTAAATCTTCAAATTTATTCAAGATTTCGTTCTCGAGTTATGAACTCAATAGTATATATTGATATGAAAATTCACATTGCAAATTCTCCAAAATAACACGCATGCTCGTTTTCATCTATCATCGTAAGTTATCGCTCAATTGTAAAGCAAATTTGTTGAAAAATTGTATAGTTGCTCCATGCTTTAACGTTATCAACATCAACAACGTTATCAACGATAATATTTGAATAAAAGTTAAATTTTAATGAAATACGAACTCAGAACAGTAAAGAAGATTGGATGCTGATGATAAGACTGAAGAAGACATTGTATGAGTGAAAATTCATATTTTTAAAAAAAGTGATCTTTGGTATTCTATTTGTGTATGATGCTTCTTTGATTCATATTGAGGAACATATTATCATTAAGGATATCGTTTATACTACATTTATTACAATTGTGCGTTGATGTTTGATTGTTTGAGTGTGTTTTTTAACATCACTAAATAATCTGCATGAAAATAAATTGAAAATAACCAGTCCATAATATCTTTTGACATGCGACACTTCAATGTTTTATTTTAAAGAAGTTTATATCACGTATAAAAATAGAAAGAGTTTTTCTCCTTAATTTTTACAAATACCTACTCCAAGTTTTTCTATATTTGTGATCCACATCATTCAGTCTTCTCGCAATAGGTAATATTATTTAGAAAAATATTTAGTGATAACTAAATGAGCAATAACATAACTTTTACGGGAAACTTTCTGAACCTCAAGGAGAGTAGCAAAAAGTCTACTGATACGTATCATGTAGAGAAATAATTTTTTCCAGAATAAAAACTAGTTACTCTTACTTGTAAGAGTCGGCCTTTGATACATTATTTTTTTTAGAAACAAAATATGGATATTTTTGGCATTAATTTTTTGGAATGATTAAGGAAAAATATAAATCGCATCTTAAGAAAATTTATTGAGACATGAAAGGTGCGTTAAAATTGTAAGAGAAACAAACCTTCAATTGAAGTAGCTAAACCTGTTTATATGTAGTTTATATAGATAAAGAAAGAGTATTTCTAAGCAATTTAAAGTCGATACAAGTTCTCGAGAACTGAAATCTTGTTTTTATGATTTACAGGGTTATTAGTAACTGAGTCACCTACATAAAAATTTCATCAAACCCATTTCATAAGAATAAATGCATTTCACAGTAGTAACCGAGAAAATCAACTCCAGGTTGTCGAAACACACATGCCTGGAATTTGTTAACATTAAAACCCATGGGTCGCCCATATTCTAAGCAGAAATCGATGTCAAGAGGGTGCCGGTCAGATAGGGTTTATGTTAACCCCGGGGTAGAGTAAGGCCCCGTGCCAACGGGTTTGGAGTATGAGTCTGCTGGCGCGACCGGGCACCGAATTCCTCGTCGAGGCGGGCCCTCGAGCAACCCAGGGGTACGATCGAGCAGTTGGTGCGTTGCGCTCGAGAGATGCAGCTTGCGAGAAGCAGTGGTCTCATCGAGCAACATTCCCCATTTCGCCCTCACGACGGAGTGGTCGAGCGATTGAGCAGCGGAAATGGGGCGGGGAAATCCTGCCGAGGCTGGGAAGCCCGAATATTTGTTCCAATGTCCGGATCAGTTTTTCAAGTCAGCTGCTCTGCATAAGGAGGGAATGAGCTTGAAGGCAATTCGGGAGGATGCCGGTGATGCGAAGGCAGCTGAATTGGGGCAAGAGCTGGCCGGGCTTTCTGTCGCAAACAGGGACGAACAAACTCAGGATGATGCTGGAGACCAGAATGCGAGTCAATCCGGAGACGCTGGAGATGATTCCTTAACTAGATTCACCTGCAATAGATGCAGATTTTTATTCCAGACCTGGGATGAGCAACGCGCCCATTTCAAGTCTGATCTTCATCGCTTTAACGTACGTACCGCCTGTATTTACTTCGTTTCCATGGAGCATGCCACGCCCAGCTTACGATGTTTGTTTCGGTATATTCACATGAATCCTGAATTGCGACGTTTTCCTGCTCAACGTTGATCTTGCTTGGGCTTCAAGTTGAAAGTGGTAGATTATTGTAAACTAAGGCTTATCATCCTTCAGGAGTTTGTAAATTGAAAACATTCGAGGGATTCATTTTTTTACGACGTCACTGTCATTGATAGTAAATCAGATCACCACACCGCCCAATTTTTTTCTAATCATGGAACCTTATTATTTCAAATTCATACCAGACCTACACGCCATGCTTTCCGTTTTCGAGCTAACCTTCACGAATATGCATTCTTAGGCAGTAGAAGGTACTTCGCTGTTGTGAAAGATCCACTGAACGGCAAGCAGAGACCATTGATCAGTGACCTGCCTAACATTGTCTGGATGACAATGATTTTAGTGTCATATGAAAGCAAGCAGGCTAGTTTTGAGTATAAACGTGTTATCTTTTGCCTTTTATCCTCCATCTACGTATTTACTCAATCACATGCTATGAAGCAGCAGTGTGGCATTACGATACAATCGACTGCGCCAGGCTTGAAGCAGTACAGCTGTAAGCCTTAGGTCATATTAGAAATTGGAGTGACCTCTCTTGAGTATTGTAGAGATGTTTTCAAGCTTAAGTGGCGAGAAAGTTTCATCATATGTCACATCAACTCTATTCACAAGCTCTCTTGAATACTAGTAGATACGGAACATGCAAGGGAGACTCACTATTGAAATTCACATAGTGGGACAAACCGTTTGCTCTTGAAAGATCAACTATGTCAGATGGAAGGAGTTTCTCGTAAAAATAGTGAGAGGCGATTACTGGTCCCTCACTGTAACTGGTCAGGGAGGAAGCACGCCACAAACCAGATCCAAACCTAGCCATGCTGGATCTCGAGCAGAATACTGAGGGATTTCCTCTACTGGTACACTCTTGAAACTCCGAGCTTTATACGTCTCACGAGGTTTCAACAAGTTCCGAGTGGGGTTCATCACTCACAATTACAACTGAAGAACCATTCTCCAACTTTGGACACTGTGTGGGAAGGAAGACCATTGCCCCGTACAGCATCGGATGGAATGCATTATATCATCCAATATGGGGACGAAACAGTTTCATACAATATCATGCGGCTCGTAATCTCCGAGCTATATAAGGAATTCTATAGCTTCGGTCGAGAGCCCATAGCAGCTGCACCGCTGTAACTATCTGGTGGATATGCAACTGAGCGGTTTCTTTGGTAGATACATGGAAACTCAGCTTTATTCTTAATTAATTCTTAATTCTTATGAAGAAAAATTGCACTTCATGAAAGATCCTCATCACTTTCAAGCAGTCCTCTCTCGATGTCCTCCTATCTTTTGCTAGTACTCAAGTCTTTTTGAAGGCACCGCGCAGCCAGTGAGCGGGTTTATTGGTATTCAGGTTACGATAGGCATATACTAATGAGTACAGGTCCCTCTCCATATTACAGGTGAAGCGACGGTCTCGTGGCAAGGAGCCCATCAGTGAAGACGATTTCACTAAAGTTGCAGAAGGAGGATCGAAAGGCGACATTGACGATGTTTCAAGTATATCTGGATCTGATTCGGAGTCGGATGACCCAAACAGCACAGACGGTTTCAGGCGCAATACTCATAAAACCAATCGCATCCACTTCGTCTTACAGGACTCAGGACAATCATTCTCCCTCTGGCGGGTACTTGCTTTAAGTGAGCGAGAGTACTTGCAAACTGAGAGATGTTACGCAGAAGAGCATAACGATGTACTTTACGTATCTGAAGACAACCTTTTGCTAAGACTTAAGTCTTTGGTACCTCCTACATTGAGGATTGAAGACAATGCAGTACCTAAACATATCTGGGTTGTTCTATTATCTGCTGGAGGGCACTTTGCTGGTGTTGTTATGAATATGCAAGGAGGTGGAGTTCTTGCTCATCACACTTTTCACAGGTATATATGTTGTGATATTCTCTTGATCAGGTCGATCCAGTTTAGAAGGTTTAGGTGCTATTTCAGTTAGCATCTTGAGATTGTTGTGAGACACCTTCAGTTACTCTTTCACTCTAAAGTTTATGAAGGAAACACCTGTCGCAGATATGTCGTGAGAGCGAAAGCAGGAGGCAGGCAATCCACTCGTGATGCGACTGGCCGCGCTCCAAAGTCAGCGGGTGCATCCCTTCGAAGATACAACGAAATGGCTTTGCAAAAAGTAAGCCATGTCTACCTAAGCATGATCTTTCTGTTTCTAATGAATACATGGTACTCACTGATATGAAACCCACCACCCGTTCTGTTACATATCTTCTTAGGGCAACTTACCTTTCTTTGCAGGTGCATCATACAACAGTTAGCAAACCCAATAACATGTACGATTATCTTGTGTGAAATATTTGTTGCTTACTTTCTCTAATATGTTTGTAAACAGTTTATCTGATTTGTCTGATAGGAAATTCGGGATCTATTGGCTTCTTGGGGTGATTACCTGCGGTCTGCATCTCACATATTCGTCTATGCTCCGTCTGCAAACGGGCAAGCTCTTTTCGGAGGAGAAAATGCACCTCTGAATCGCAATGATTTACGACTTCGGCGAATCCCGTTCACTACGCGTAGACCTACGTTTAAAGAAGCTCAACGGGTTTTCCGTGTACTGGCATCAATCACATATGAGGAGGAGAGTCCAACTTCCATTGAGACTCCCATTGCGATGGTGGATGGCAGTGCAGGAGCAAAGAAGGAAGCGAAACTTAGTGTTAAGAAGTCTGATGCAGGACAGGGTAGTGCAGACAGTAGTGGTCAATCGACTGCCCAGAACCCTGCAGATGGTGCGGGCTCCAGTGGTAAGTTGTGGACGTTGTTATGTAACAGTTTGCTTGGAATTCTAACTTCGTATCGTCGAGGAATTCACAGTTCAGAGTGTCAGACAATTACTTGCAGACTAGCCTCTCCGTTCCTCATATATAATATGGTCTGAACGTTTTCTACGGCTTTGAAGCAGGTTCTGAGGTGCCGGCACTCAACCCGAGCACTCCTCTCCATGAGGCAGCCAAGTCTGGAAACTGTGAGGAGGTGCTGAGACTCTTAGAAGATGGTATGGATCCCTGTGCCCGCGATGGAAGAGACAGGACACCATATTCTCTAGCAGGAGACAAGGAGACGAGAAACGTGTTCCGGAGGTATATGGCCAGATTCCCAGATCAGTGGGATTGGCATGCTGCTAATGTACCAAGTGCTTTGACTGAGGAGATGGAGTTGGCACAAGCAGCTAGAGAGGTGATTCTTGCTCACTAATGAGCTGATTATTGCTTTTTATGCCAGAAGCCAAGATGCCTCAGTCTATCCAGAACTCATTCTGTACAGTTTCAAATTTGTGGTTGTGGTTGTTATCGCATGCGAGGATTTACGCCTGGAATGTTGAACATGTGTCGTGCGCACACTAGTGTGGTTAGATGTCCTGTCCACAGATCTTATAAATAAGATTTGAACTGACTTTATTTTCTTACTGGATCCTCATGTCAGGCTGAAAAGAAGGCAAAGCGGAAGGAGATCGAGAAGGAGAGAAAGAAATTGAGGAAAGAGCATGACAGGAAGAAAGAGGTGCAACAAGAACCTACTAGACAGTAATAAATTTGTTTCGATATGTACTTCGATGCTTGTCTCTATCCAATCGATTATAGGTGCCTCATCGAAATACGCTTGTACTCATCGAACAACGATTGATTCTAGAACTACCTTCGGGACGACTATTTGTGTTGCTGTCTAGAGAAGAAGAAAGGAAGAACAGATGTTTCTTCCTTTCATTCTGTTTCCTTTCCTTTCATTCGTAGTACTCCTCGTAAAGCTTACTTCCCGGGTTTCACTCAATTATTCGTCCTGTTTTGCGTCGGCAGGCTGAGAAAAAAGCAGCGGAATTAGCGGCTGCAGCCGTGGCCAGTGTGCGTGGCACCAGTCAAGTTAAGTCTTTCACGAAAACGCCAGCCCCGGATACCAAGTCAGCTGCCTATCAAGCGGTAAGAACAGTTTTCAGACTTTGATTATGTCTAGACCGAGAAACTGATGTTGACGTTAGTCATTATCCGGTACATAAGGCTAGAGACAGTACTTTACCATAACAGAGAGAGCTGTGTAGACCTCTCTCGTCATTTCCTTGCAGAAGCTAATGTTAGTGGGTGATGTTTCTGAGGCAGGCCGTAGCAAAGGCACAGGCTGCAGAAAGAGATGCAAGAGCAGCTGCGGCTGAGGCTAGGATGCGGGCTCTGATTGCAGCCAATAACGCCACAGATGGGCAGTCTACCTCGACGCCTTCAAGGGCGTCAGGCAGCTCGAGTGGTGGAGCTAAGGGGTGCTCATGTTGTGGGGCCTCGCTAGTAGGTAAGACACCATTTTATAAGTTTTCATACTCGTACTGTAGCACAACATGCGTTCAAGTACATAGGAAATACCTGGAAAATGAAGGTCAATGACACAATTTTTTATCCTGAATCACGCTTAGTTCTGGTGCTCGAGGGCGATCTCGTTCTGAAGGTGCTTTTAGCAGCAGTTGTAGAGCTATTACCGTTGTGGATGTTTATATTGAGTCAAGTGGAGAATTTCCAACCTCTTGACTTTCTGGAACATGAAAAGTTGTTTCGGTTGGGAGCTTCTTTCATTATCGCACAATGAGCACTCAACTCTTGCCAATCAGTTGAAGACCACCCCTTCTCTCCTAATGAAGCCCCCTTGGCCTACCCAGCTATGGTTTTTAGTGTTATCACTGTTATGAATGGCAAAGAGGATGTGCTGTCCCAATTGAAACGCTCAGATTCAATGATCAACTTCCCAACACTGTTGGAGCAGGTTGAGGTATGTTGTGACAATTGATGACGTCGCTCAAGTACGAACCTCGGGATATAAGTGGAGACACGGTACTTTAAAGGAAACACACGGCAAATTCGGTTACGGTCCTAGATTTAGGACCGGAACGGAAGAAGAGCGTCGTACCTATACAGACAGACAGATGATCTACGAGCGTGATGATGTGAAAATCGATGTTTCCGCGTAGAATATGCGCTGGTTGGTCGAAGACTACGGCCTGAAGGGTTCGGGTCGAGCACTACGTGCCTTCCGTCTACAAGCCCTCCCCTTTGGTCATGGTCTCTAGAGTCATGGGTATCCAAAAGAACTTGCACAAACATACGTTCTCATGGTATCTAGCCCGATCATGTTCTCTGCAGAGATTAAGTATCTGAAACAAACACAAAAACGAGCTCTGGTACTCCCGAGGGTCTTTCTGCTGGTCATGGTTAACGAGATGACGAACGCATGTACGAAGTCCATGTAATGTTGTCCAGAAATTAACGCAAAGTGTACCTTGTATAAAGCGGCCGAATATCGCATATCTCTCTCACCCATGATGTCCGACAATATCACACGACATCTCCCCTCAAATGACACGCCTAAAGTAACAATGGAAGATGCGAGTTCTCTGTCCGCCTCGAGAGCTTGTTAGGAACAAGAGAGGGAGAGAGAGAACTATTCTGTTAAGAAAATCTGGATTGAACACTTTCATGATGTTTCTGAATAAGAATTCTCTTTCGTGATACACCGATAGTTCATGATGGATACTGTCAACATTAACTACTGTCTTCTGGGAACATTAATTCACAAGAGGACATTTGTAAGGAATCTGAACACGAAGTGCCCGTTAATGTTGTGTGTGAGGTGAAGTCCTGAAGCAAAGCACATAAAAGGGGACCTCATTCTGATAAAACTGTTGGCAGAGAGCCAGCAATTTCGTCGGAGGCCATGCCCAGATTCTGTCCAGAAGTGTCCAAATGTTTCATCGACAACAGCTGAACGAACTCGGCGCCAGACAAGGAAACATGGGAGAAGACAACGAGTCACTAGCGAACGGAAGGCGCAGCCAGTGTGCGCTCGGGAGGACGGTCGTCCCACCAGCTCCACTCCAATAATCGAAGCCACTCGTGAATCCTGCAACGCCCGACTTATGAAACGAAACCACGCGTCTGAACCACCAACCGTCCCTTTCTCCAGCCTAGAGCTAGTCAGGCTCTTTCTCTCTCTCCCCACGTTACATGCTGTTCTCACTTGGATGCTTTGCCACCACCCTCAGAAGCCATGAGAATCAGAGAAATAAAGAGAAATAAAGATCTGGAATGGCGACTCCTTGCTCCTGCTAGCAACCGAAGAGATGATTTAAGCTCGCTGGCCTTCTTTTCCTAGCCCTCGTCTGTCTTATCGATGAAACTCTGAATATTTCGAACTCGAAGAACGCCGACAGGAATCCATCAGATTCAGTAGAATTACAAACTGCCTTGGCTTAAAATATCTCCTCTCCAGCTGCAGCTGCAGCTCCAGCAGAAAGGGGTCAAATGCTGAAGGAAGCGAAGGGAAGGGAGTTTTTTTCTCACAATGTTGGCTCCAAAGAGTCAGGGGAGTCATTCGGGGAAGCAGAGCAGCAAGTTTCATCCGACTGCTGATCGACAAGTGTTGGGCTGCTACAGCTCGTTCGAGAGGCATGCTGTAATACTGTGACCAGTGGACTCAGAAGCACTTTACCTTCTTATTTGTCAAAATAAGAGCTGGAGACTTCTCTCTCCTTTGTTTCCCATCTCCCGTTCGGCCCCGGCCAGCCCACCTACGGTTCAGATATTAGAGGGCCCTGGTATAACCCAACCTGCTTTTCGTGCAGCTCGCAGTTTGTGACAAGTGGACTTCCATGTATTCTTTGTCGGTTATGGTTGGAAAAGGTTCCGGGTATATATATAAAACCATCCCGATTTAGACTTATGTGTTAGAGCTTCCTCACTTCAGATCCCCGACCTAGAAGAAGACCCTTCATTATTGGTTGTAGCTTCAAATTCTCTCAAATTCTCTCGTCACATGGCAATATGACCGAAATCCCTTCAGTTGTCCAGGAGGACCGACCATCACCAGGTCGCTGTTGTGCACAAAAGTCGAAGACCGGTGATGGACTTGGCAAATTATATCAAATTTCTGAACTTTTAGGCCAATATCTGTGCACTGGAGAGCGTAAAATACCGCCACCTTGGTGATTGGTGAACAATGAGAGTTCAAAAGTCAGGTCCTTGATCTTATCGGCCCAATCGAAATATTCATTCTTGGTCTTGTCTTGACATAAATCATAACTTAAACTTATTTCTTTTGATAGTTAGCTTCATATAGATTTATTATATCTACATCACATTAAATGTCACATTAGATATGAGAATATAAATATATATCATGGGTGCTGCTGGCCACAAAAGACAACCATAAAAGGAAGGAAAAAGGAAAAAATTCTGTAGTTGGATTATATGCTCTGTTCGTTCTCGTCACTTTGCTTCCCCGGATCAGAGAATACCGTTTCTTTTGTTATCTTGTGTTCACTCCTCGTATCAAAGAATGCGTACAATTGTATAATTCGGAGGTCCGAAGGTCTTGACCAGCCGGAGAGACAAATCATACATCAACACACATGTACAAATGTACTAGTACTAGTAATTGAATATCAACTTCAACTCATGTAGCTGTTTTGGCATGTGCTCAGCTAGGTGACTAGGGGTGCCGCTAGATAACTCATGCCATAGATGATAGAGAGTTATCCTTCCATTGTTTGAAGAAATAGTTGTCATGTACTATTGTTGCAATCAGTCTACTAAAAAGACATGTGCTACTAATGCATGCTTTATGGCCACTATTACGAACCGTTCACTTTTACTACTACTATATTCTACCACTTGACTCTATCTTCTGCTTTTCAGAAAGTGCAATACTATCACACAAAGCAGCCGCGGTTGCTCTCTATCTAATACGATATAATACTAATATAATAGACGATACTTCACATGTAGCTCCCCTAACTTTCTCTTTTCAAAAACCCCCAGTCTAGAATTTCCTTAGCAATATGAATAAAGTCTTAATGATGATGAGATACTAAGATCTCTCTTATCTTGAAGCCTACAGTACAAGTAGATGGAATGTCACCGTGCACATATAATTATGAGCCTCTAAAGAGTAAACTCACCTGTCGGGATGACACCAGTCAATGATCAATTGGCTCCAACGATGTTCATTATTTCATGTACTCTAGCACACTTCAAATGAAGAGTCAATAAGAAAATCGTTGGGTATCGAGCTAGAAAAGAGCTGCAGTCCTTTAGTTTCTACCGTACTTCGTGGACCATGGCTTCCACATGTTACACAGTCTACTTATCGGGCCAATCTTCATGTTTCTATCATCAGCTTTGATAAAGCTCGTAGTTGTCCGGATCCAGGACATCCATTCCAGTATATATGTTTCTGGAAATTTCAAGCTTCAAATGAGGGTTTTCTCGTCCATACGTCATAAGCAGTTGGAATCTCCCTCTTATCCTCTATAAAAGAATAGAAGAGAATTTGCTTAAGAAGATCAAAAGGACCCTCATTCACACACAGGACTGGAGAAGAAGACGAGAATGATATAATGTACAATATCGATCTGGTATGCAAACATCTGAATCTAAGGTTGACGTTTATTGGGGAAAACATCGTCAAATTATCCTCCACATTTTCATCTGACCTGCTCAAATTTCCTCGTTCACCGAGCGGAGGGTTATGAAGGAAATGTCCTTGCAAGGTTGGCCACGAAGTTTGTCTTCCATGGCCCTTTCGTGGTAGGCTAACATGCAGAGAAATCCAAGGGTTTTGTCTGTTTTAGAAAAATGCTTCCGTACCCATCGCCTGCAGAGGATTCGAAGCACGTCGGTCGTCGGTGGGGCCCGACGAAAAAGCGCAAGCTAGGGTCAATCGAGCAGATCTTCCTCCCACAAGACATGCCGAGGTAAAGAATCCACCTGTCCGCACAAGGCTGCTCAATTTGGTTCTTGAAAGCACAATATTCTCAAGCGTCATTCAACCATCGCGTAGCAGGCAGCACAGCACCGTTCCCGCACTTTGTGCTCTTCACTATATACATGCCTCGAGCTCCTCCTTCAATATTCTCCTATTGCATGTCCTTACAGTGCACTGCTCTGCTCTTGAGTTGACGGAGAGAGCTGGCACTTGCTTCACTCGGTTCCCCCGTGGTCCACTCTCTCAGCTGAACTGTTCAGTAGATTTGTGGGAAATTAGACTTTGTAGTTTGTAGGGGAGAGAGAGAGAGAGAGAGAGAGAGAGAGAATGGGGAGAAATTGACTTGGAAATATCGAACTGAAAGGAATCATGGGGACTACAGGAATTCATTCGCTTGCTCTAGCACTTCTTTGTTGTACCTGTCTTTTATCGACAACATATGGAGATTATTCCGGAGGATACAAGCTGGTTAGTTTGTCCAATTACTCGGACGGGAAGGGTTTAGTCGCCTACCTCAAGTCGATCGACGATGGGAACTTTACCTATGGTCCCCCTGTTGAGGAGCTTCAACTGACAGTCAGGTGATTTTTCTGATTCTTCATGTGTTTCAGCCTCCTACTACTTACTAGCATGCTACAGTTTGTTGTCCTTACTACTCTCAATCGACAGATACAATCTCTGTACATCTGATATACACCTTTCTGCTCTTGCGAACATTAAATCCGAGCGACAATCTCCATTTCCAAAGATCACGATGTGATTCTCCAGCTTTCGAGGCGAAGTGTTGGCTAGCAGCACAACGTGCTCAGCATGAACATCAGTCTGTTCTCCATTCAGTAGATGACTGTCGTTTATTGTCCAATATCACGCAAGGTTTCAGAGTAGGCGACACTGATCACTGCAAAGTCTGGTCTTGCAGATTCGAAACTGATGATCGTCTGCGAGTGAAGATTACCGATGGTAAGAAAGATCGTTGGGAAATTCCAGAATGGATTGTTCCCAGGGGCGCGAAGTCAAGCGAAGTAGCCTCTCTGACCTCTTCCGAGCCGGAGAAGCAGGGAGAAGTGTCTGTCGGAGACTCTTCGTTCAAGTTCTCGTACACATCAGAGCCCTTCGGATTCGCAGTATCCAGGTCCTCGGGAGAAGTGTTGTTCAACACCACTCCGAATGGGGACATTGGCAGCTTGGTATTCAAGGATCAGTACTTGGAGATAACAACTCACCTCCCCGAGAAATCGGTCCTCTTCGGACTGGGAGAGAGCACAAGACCCGATGGCTTGCGACTGGCTCCTGGTCGAGTCTACACTCTGTGGGCCACGGATATCGGCAGCAACATTCCCGACATCGATCTGTACGGGACGTATCCGTTTTACATGGACTTGAGGAAGGGAGTGGCCCATGGAGTGTTGCTTCTCAACAGCAACGGGATGGATGTTCTGTACGAGAGAGATTCTCTGACGTATCGAGTCATTGGAGGAATTCTGGACTTTTATTTTTTCGCTGGCCCAACTCCTCTGTCAGTCGTCGACCAATACACCCAACTCGTCGGAAGGCCTGCTGCCATGCCCTACTGGTCTCTCGGTAATGCTCTGTCCTCAAAATAGTCCTTCGACGTTAAGCACTTCTGTGCATGGCTGATCGATACGATGCTTTTATTGAAGGCCTCATTGTAGCAGAGGCTTTCAATGTGGAGTCTCTGAGAAATCCCTTTGACCTGGCTTGTACTTGTACCCACGCAGGATTCCATCAGTCCAGATATGGGTACAAGAATCTGGAGGAATTGGAAGAGGTTGTTGCCAAGTACGCGGCTGCAGAGATTCCTCTCGAGACCATGTGGTCTGACATCGATTACATGGACGAGTACAAGGACTTCACCACGCACCCAGTAAACTATCCTGAAGACAAACTGAGAACCTTCGTGGAGAAGTTGCACGCCAATGACATGAGATACGTGATCATCGTCGACCCTGGTACGTCTCCCTCTTGGTCCTCTTCCATTGCCTGCAGCAGTTTCAGAGGGCCTGTGAGATTACACGAAGTCCTCGGGCCTTAGCTTCTGGCATCTCTGAAGCCATGGATGAAACCCTACCCTGAAAGTGAGCCGTGAAACAAATGGCCGATTCTTCTCTGTCTCGTTGCAGTCACTTGTCTTGTGGAAACTGTCGCCTAGATGTGGTGGCCTTGAGATTCGAGCAGAGGCAGAGTGTGCAGACATTTCGCTCTGACAGAGAATTTGCCTTTCAATTTCAGTCTGATGCATCAGTGCATCAAATTGTCCGAGCATACATCAGCTTACGAGTGATTGATGATGAGTACATCAGAATTTACGAGGAAATTTTCATGGTCTCGGTCAGAGATTGTTCGCAGCACCAGGTCACACTAGTAACGACGGCCATTGCTTGCTCTGGATGCTGCAGGAATTGCGATTGCCGAGAATTACAGCACCTACCAACGAGGTCTGGATTTGGACGTCTATGTCAGGAATCAATACGGAGAGAAGTACCTTGCTCAAGTGTGGCCAGGACCAGTTTACTTCCCGGACTTCCTGCACCCGAACGCCGAAGAATTCTGGACCACGGAGGTGGTGAAATTCCACAAGAAGATTCCATTCGATGGACTGTGGATCGACATGAACGAGGCGGCCAATTTCTGCACGGGCCCGAGCTGTTTCATCAATCCCGACGTGGTGTGCCCTGGAGACGATTACACAATCTGCTGCCTCATCTGCAACAACACGGTGCCAATGTCGACATGGGACGACCCGCCCTACAAAATCAACTGCATCGGCAAGTACCGAGAGCTCAATGGAAGAACCATCGCCATGAGCGCGCAGCATCACGGCGGCGTGCGAGAGTACGATACGCACAATCTGTTCGGCCTCACGGAATCGATCATGACCAACCGCGCCTTGAAGACATTGACGAAGAAGAGGCCTTTCGTGCTCTCGCGATCGACCTTCGTCGGCTCCGGGGCGTACACTGCGCACTGGACGGGCGACAATGGAGCTTCCTTCAACGATTTGGCCTACTCCATCGTCAGCTGCTTGAACTCGGGAATGTTCGGAGTGCCGATGGTGGGCGCGGACATTTGCGGGTTCCTCGATGACACTTGGGAGGAGCTCTGCAATCGGTGGATTCAGGTCGGCGCATTCTACCCTTTCGCCAGAGACCATGGCGATTTCCATAGCATTCACCAGGAGCTTTACCTCTGGGACTCCGTGGCCAGCAATGCCAAGGTCGTCTTGAACCTCCGCTACAAGCTCTTGCCCTACTACTACACCCTAATCTTCGAATCGCACAACACCGGAGCTCCGATTATGAGGCCTCTCTTCTTCGAGTACCCCGAGGACGAGAAGACGATGGACATCAACACCCAATTTCTCGTCGGCCGAGGAATTATGGTGTCGCCCGTCGTGGCCGCAGGGCAGGACACCATCGCTGCTTACTTCCCTCCGGGGGTTTGGTACAATGCGTTCAACAATTCGGACATTGTGAAAGTGGAGGGCAGCGGAGAATTGCTAGTCCTTCCTGCTCCATTGGACACGATTCAAGTGCATTACAGGCAGGGATTCATCATCCCGATGCAGGAGGCGGCCATGACCACTACCTCGGCGAGGAGGACGCCGTTCACGCTCATGGTGGTGTTCGGGGACGAGGACGAGGCCGAGGCTGCGGGAGAGCTTTTCTTGGACGACGGCGAGGAATTGGAGATGCGGGTGAAGGCCGGGAGGTCGACATTCGTGAAATTCAGCGCGCACAAATTCCAAGGGAAGGGATCGATCGAGGCCAAGGTGACGGCGGGAGAATTCGCTCTCAGCCAGCACTTCGTTCTGCACAAGATCACCATCCTCGGGCTGCGGGAGCCGCCATCGCGAGTGCGATTGACGGGAAATCTGGCACCCGTGATGAGCCCTGCGCTCGAGATTTCGTCCTCGGGCCTGCGATCGGTCGACATCTCGCACCTGAACCTGTCTCTGAGCGAGAGCTTCGGCCTCTCGTGGGACTTCGACTTCGATTCGATCGCATCGTCGTGAGCAATTTGTAGGAACTCAAAACAGCAACTTTGCTGTGGCTATAGACTCTACGGAAGGTAATGGGAATCGGATTTTGTGGAGAAATTCCACCCTCGATTTGAGCTTTAGAACAGTTCCAATTGAAGCAAGTGCAAGCATCGATCGATCAGCTCATTCATATGTAGCATAGTCTCCGCGCAAGGCAATCGAAGAATCTCCAATCAGAAGATCAGTCTCTTCTCGCCCGCACTCATCCACATCCACATTGTATTGGCAATCGTTCATCGTTAACCAGACCTTTATTACGCCTTCTCAGATTCCTACGAGCTTCTGCAGCTTTGGATGCCAGATTTGTGACGGAAACCTTCTGTCTACTCGATTTTTGCTCCTCTTCAACTCCATTAATTTTTTATTATAATTTTTTATGGTAAATGGTGACGGAAAATTGCGTCAACTCAATTTAAAACCTTTCCTAAATTTCAGGAAAACTATGTCTACGGTGACATACTCGAGAACATTGAATCGATTTTATTCTCAGATTAGAGGCCTTCAAGATATTCGGGGTCTTATGCCAGTGCAAGGAAGATGAGGAACTCCCACACGCCCAATTTTCCCTAGCCCCAAAATTGTTCAAAATTTTGTGTATGGTAAATGCTGAAGAATAATTTTCTCAGTACGCTCCAAAGTGTGCAATAATCATCGAGCAAGTCAGAAATGCATTTGATGAGAGATGTGGGATGTAATCGATCCTGAAGCAGTAAAGTCTCAATATGTAAGTCATACATTTGAATACAGCTAATGTCTACATTTCTGAATTAAATGGAAATAGCAAAAATTTAGTTTATGCTAGCATGAACTAGATTGTGCATTTTTCTCCACGAGCCTGTAGAGTAAAATGCGAATCCTAGGCACCATCTTCTATGTGTAGATGGCTACAAAAGCAGAACAATAGTACAAGCTTTGCAAGAATTTAACACATAAAATGGGAGTTCAAGAATGTACTGCTGAAAGTGGAAAAACTATGATGGAATGGATCACTATCAAAGGAGAGAACTACACATCCTGTAAATATGAAAAGATGCTCATGTGAAATCAAGCCACTCGTAAACTTTCAAACCACAATGTACAATATCACACCTTTTAATCTTTTGTAGAACACAAATAATATAGAACCTGCAAATACTCTCATCGGAATATATCGCTTTCTGACCAGGAGATGAAGTTCAATGCGTAAGTTTGATGCATACCCGAAGCCTGAGAACCATGCAAATTGGTGGAACTCAAAAGTAGATAATAGGTACTAGAATAAAACCACATGATGACAAATTCTCAACATGAAAGAGGTGCTGACTTTAGTGACGAGCAACAATCTCGAAAGATGTGATTATCTTGAGGATATTTTCCGCCTCTTGTCACGCACTGTTTGTAGCATGCTGGGACTACAAATGTGCCACGAATATGGGATCTCGCTGACAGGGTTCAGGACCCGCAGAATGAACAAGGACAGCAAATTCCTTAAACTCTTCACTTTGTGTGTTGCATCTACAGGAAATTGTTCCCCATGCACAGGCTCTTGATGGGAAGACATTCTCAATCGATGAGCCGCTTTCAGCTTTTACCTTGCCAAGCAGCTGCGAATACTATAACCAGAGATCGATGCAATCCTAACAACGAAATTAACGAGCGAATATCTGCAGTCTCAGTATGAAAGTTCTCGAGACTGGAGAGGTGTGCAGTGCAGTATTTTTGATAGAGATTTTGTGAAGATTGAGTCATCGACCATGAACCTGTATGGTTTCTCATCATCTTGTTTGAGAAATCTTTGATCGATCCGGATTCTGAATCTTCCGCAGCCCACATTGTTCGAGCTTTTGTCCTGTCCAATTTATTTACAGGCAGAGATGGTGGAACAGTTCAAGTCATCGCAATTGGAGGAAATTGAGAGACCTCTAAAGGTAGATAAATGCTGTGGGAGTTGTACGCTAGTAGTGTCTCATTTGCAACCAATGTGACACATATTTGTTGGAAGAATTGATTCCCGTCATCTTGCAATTGGGGATGTCACGAGACTCCAAAAACATAGTAGACAAGAGATTCAGAGATGGCGATTGCAGGGACGAGAATGCGGGAGCTCGAGAATGGACGGGGCCGACTCAGAGTGAGCTGAAAGTTGGGCCACTGGAAGAGTGAATCTTAATTTATTCACAGGACCTCGTGCTCGATGATTCGTCGATTCTAAAGGTACAAGTCTGCTGCTTGTCAAACCGAAGCAGACAGTCTGCACATCCTACCACGTGATGGAGAAATTTTCACCCAGAAGAAGGTCGAGATTGGACAGATGCACGCTCGATCCATCGTCGGAGATTTGGACCGAAGAAGGCGCAGGCTGGTTGTTTATGGACATGGCGGACGACGAGGGCGGAGAGCTGAGACCGAGAAGAATGATGGTGTGCACACTCCACGCCGGCTGAGCATACTTCAACGCGAATTCTCCGCACTCGACTTCCGATTCCACCGATCCCTGCGCACCGGACTTCGACGCCTGGAATCGAATTAAGGTGGACGATCCGGGCTCCAATTTCATCTCCACCCGAACACCATCGTCGACGAACAGCTCGCCGTAAGCCTGACTCTGATCGGATCCATCGCCGAACGCAACGACCAGAGTGAAATTGGACATGCGCGCTGCCTTCGTCGTGAGGGCCGCGTCCTGCATCGGGACGATCGATCCCTGCGCGAGATGAACACGAATCGTATCGAGAGGAGCTTGCAGAGTCTGATTGGCACCCGCACCTTCGATGCGCGAGAAATCAAACAGGTCGTACCATGTCCCTGCAGGGAAATAAGCCTCGACAGAAGTGGCATTCTCGATCAGAACAGGCGATACGAGAATTCCTCGGCCGAGAAGGAATTGCGAATTGATGCTCAGAGTGTTGGGGTCCGATGGGTACTCGTAGAAGAGGGGCCGAGCTATGGGAGCTCCAGTCGTGTGCGCCTCGTGCACGAGAGTGTAAAAGTATGGAAGAAGGCGGTACCGAAGGCCGAGCACAGTCCTGGAGATGGCGGCGACCGAGTCCCAGACATAGAGCTCATGAAACGGAGCTCGAATGTCGGCGTGATTGCGAGCGAATGGGTAGAAAGCACCGAGCTCGATCCAGCGAGCGCAGAGCTCCTCGGTGGTGTTGCCATTGAAGCCGCAGATGTCGGCTCCCACCATGGGAACTCCGAACAAGCCCGAATTGAGGACACTGACGACGGAGAAGGCGAGATCGTTCCATGTCGCGGCGTTGTCGCCCGTCCAGTGCGCGGCGTACTTGCCCGTGCCGACGAAGGTCGATCGCGACAGCACGAAGGGCCGCTTGTCGTTCAACTCTCGCAGCGCTTTGTAGGTGATGATGGATTCCGAGAACCCGTACATGTTGTGGAGGTCGTACTCGAGCTCTCCCCCGGCGTGCCTGGCATTCACTGCGATCGTCTTCGAGCTCAGCGGATTCATCCCGTTCGTGTTGTTGATCTTGTACGGCGGATCCTCCCACCTCGAGCCCGTCGATGCGCTGCAATTCAAGTAGCACGTGGTGATGGAATTGATGTCGTTGCCCAGAGGTTTCGTGCCGATCGAGCAGAGGGATCCCGTGCAGAAGCTGGCGGCCTCGTTCATGTCGATCCACATTCCGTCGAATTCCACTTGCTTGTAGAATTCTGCAATTTCTGTCGACCAGTAGTTCTGAATTTCTGGATGGAGAAAGTCCGGGAAGTAGACAGGCCCTGGCCACACCTGGCCCAGGAAACTGCTTCCATCTGAGTCCTTGATGAATATGTCCTTCGTCAATCCGTTGCTCAATACGCTGTAATTTTGCACCACCGCCACTCCTGTCATCGAGAGAATGGCCGAGGTCCAATTTCATCAGCAAGGGAGGCTCGTGCATTGACGGAGGCACTAACACGAATTTGATGATTCAATTCAAGCCAATCCAGAGACGAGGACTGAGACTCACCGGGATCGACGATCATAACATAATGCTGACCGGCGTCGTGCACCTTCTTCAGAAATGGCTGCATCTTGTCCCGAGGAAAGTTGATCGGGTCCAGAGTGAAGACTCTATAGGCTTCCATGTAATCGATGTCGGACCATATTGTGTCGAGTGGAATTTCAGCTGCTCTGTATTTGTCGACGACGCTCTCTAATGTCTCCAAATCCTTGTAACCCCATTTGCATTGATGGAATCCTGATCCACATGCACCATCGCCACATTAGCAACAAACAGGCCGAGGCATAACTCCATAGCCAAAGCAAAGAACTCTTATTGGAGGCACATAAAGGTCGACAGAAGCTCATCTTCCTCAATTTGAACTCGAAGGTTTCGATTCGTGAAAGCCTCAATTTCATAGGGATGAGATGAAATCACGCAGAGATGGTGACCTCGAATTTAGAATTGTAGTTTACAGGAGGAAGTAACGAGAAAGCACCTAGAGACCAATAGGGCATGGCAGCAGGTCTGCCAACGAGCTGAGTGTACTGATCGATGACAGAAGATGGCGAGGGGCCAGCGAAGAAGTAGAAATCGAGAATGCCACCGATCGCCTTGTAAGTCAAGAACTCTCCTGCGTAAGTGACGTCCATGCCATTGCTGTTCATCAGCAGCACCGAGTGCGTCGCTCCTCCATCTCGGACTTCGACGTAGTAAGGATAAGCTCCATACAAATTGATGTCGACATTGAACGAGCCGATGTCCGCAGCCCACAAAGTGTAGGTTCGGCCCGCACTGAGACGCAGGCCATCGGGCCTCGTGCTCTCGCCCAATCCATAGAGCGCAGAATTTGGAGCAAGCGCCGTGGAGATTTCCAGGTACTGATCTTTGAACACGAGCGGTCTGAACGCCGAGCTCTCTGAGCTCGGAGTCGAATTGAATAGAACTTCGCCTGTGGACGCTCGAGAGATGGCGAACCCGAATGGGCTGGAGGTGTAGGAGAATTTCAGCTTACCGGCCGACGACGATGCCGAGGGCAGAGCTTCCGTTTCGCTTGGTCTTGAAATCAAAGCTTGTGGCACCTCCCACCGAGAGTTGTTCGCGTCTGTGATGCGCACTCGGATTCTGTCGTCTGTTTCGGACCTGCGATTGAAGCATTTGTTATGATTTCCATCGAGCGCAGTTCGACTGGAATGCATGAAATGTCGTACTCGCCAATTCATGAAAATTGCACCTCTGCCACACATTTATTCAATTGCTGATGACTACTCTGTCATTGACCTGGAATTTCCTCCTCATACTATCCCTCTCATGAGAACTGCTGACTTTCATACGGATGGCATGTCTCTCAGTCTTTTGCTTCCTTCACAAATTCAGACTCTCCTCTTGTAACTGCTACCAGCAAGCACTGACCATAACGAGGACCGAGAACCCAAATCTGAAATTCCATTTGGAGGAACAATTGTGGAGGACAGATTACCTGGCGGTCACCTCAAGGTACGCGATGTCAGTGCCGTAGTCATCGCCAGCAGCAATCGGACTAAGAAAAGCTTGAATTCCTGATTTATCTGGAAGATCGGCGACTGAAATCAGGTTGTAGCCTTTGCTGGGAGTGAACGCTCGCACGAGGGAAGAAGAGGCGACGAGGAGCCCGCAGAGGAAGACCACGAGAAACAGAGTGCTGGACCTGCTCGCCATTGCTCAACTTGATGATGAGCTCGATGGCCGGGATTGAAGCAGCCTATCCTCTCATTCCCCGATTCTCGTCAAAATTCATCACTCCTCGGATTTCAAGTCAGGAATCGCCTGCAGCAAGTACCGATCCAGGCATCCCCAAGAGTGCGACCGATCACACGCACAGCGCCCAGCATGTCGGCCCCGATGGAATGAATGATGGATGATTCGAAGCGAAGAGATAATTTAAAGTATCGAGATCGTGAGTCACATGCGGATTATCTGAGGGGCACCATTCTCTCGTCGCCCAATCGGGTCGCATGGAGCAGCTCCTGCAGGTCCGACTTCTGCTGTGACACTTGGCTCGAGGTGGTAAGGAGGATAAAAGGAATAAAGCGCATTCGTACAGAGATCTGCGACAGCGACAGGGCAAAGATCTCAGCTTTCGAAAAGGTGCACATGCAGTCCGTTTCGAGCCCGACGGTGCTCATGGTGGTCGGTACTGGCAGCACGAACAGGGTCCTGCCAAAACAGCTACGTCCGCGATTCTTGCTTTTGGTTACGAGCAATCTTCGCCTTCGACTCTCGATTCCTTCCTTCCTTCCTTCCTTCCTTCTTACATATTGCCCGATGACGAGCTCTGACGTCTGGAGGTTTGGATACTGTGAGAACAGAACTAATTGCTTTCTACTGCTGCTGCTAACAGCAACGACGATTCACCCACTCGAAACGGTGCATTCTTGCATAATTGCATCGGATTTGTCGTAGTTTTCTGAACATGTCAGTGTAATCTCTTGACCTTCTGATGGTCTCTATCACCTCAATTTCTTGCCCGTGAACTCCGTCTCTCTGATCAACTGTGAAGGGATGAACCTGATTTCCTAGCCTCGTCCTCATTTTTGTAGTCTATGCCATGACACGTTTTGTTCTTATGATTGCATGCTGATGGTTTGCTTTTGGTAAACATACATAATGCTTTTGGACTATATGTAGCCCACGTGGTCACTTCCACCAATAATAACAGTCGCCTCTACCGAATTCACACTACAGTCAGGTATCATGTAGAATAATATAAAGAAATATATAAAATAATGAAGTGTCTGAAGTTAATCTATTATTGTATAATATATATTTTAAAATGATTATAGATCTATTATTTAATGTGATCACACTGAGAAAGTTCAGTATATATGTGTATTTCAGGTGAATGGCAAATTGATTGTGTAACTTTTTACAAATCAACAAATAATTTAAATATCATGCTCCCATGTATGTTGATCTTAACACTCATGTCATTACGTGTCTTAATGTATACGACTCAATATTACGATGCTCCTCGTGGAGCCTTCGCGAGGGACGACGTATCATTTATGAAGAATGTTTGGCTTGCTTTGATTGGCAAACATCTCATACACCAGGTGGAGCATGACTTTGCATGCTTTCTGTTGACACCGAGAAAATATCAAGTGTGACAAGAACCTTCTTTTTAAATTTAGAACTTGTGAAGATCAAACAGCTTGTTTGATTTCTTCTCTAGTATCACTAGCGTGCCATGTATCTTATATGTTGCCTTCAACTTTTTGATATATTTCCATTTGAACTTTTGTTTGTAAAAACTTAGACAAGAATACTGACGAATTCTCTGAGACGCTTGAGCATTCACACTGCCTTCTTGTCGAATTTCAACTTGCAAAGATTGACAAATTTACACTCTGTTGATAAATTGTGTTTATTGAGACTACATGCAGAGCACATTGTCCTCGAGTAAACCGGGAACTGCCAGAGGCAAGTGCATTGTCCTTCCCCCACGCAGAGCATACCATTTGAGCATTTGACCAGTCGATCAGACCATTCCTGGAAGCCGTCGATGACTTGGAAGGACTTTATCCTGTGGGAATGTCGGGCTCAGCAGGGCGGACAGCAGTCAGGCTCCAGCCATATTGATTTCGTCCAGTGGATCTGAAGAGATGCGACGAGAGCTTTAGGGCCGATCCGACCTTCCACATCGCCGAGGTTCCGAGCGATTCGACCTTCCGACCTCGATAAAAACTGCTCACGAGTACCCGCCGTCACCGTCGACAGATGCGACGGAAATCCGACCTTGCTCTGCAAAAGTGTTCACTAATGCTGACGATGCGATGTCGCTCAAGGGCAAAGAGTTGAAGCGCATCGTTGAGGATGCCAGTTCACTTTGCTCGACATGGACAATCTTCGGATCACTTGTCAGCGGAAGAAATCTTCCTGGTGCTCAGTCTTGGTTCCGCTGGATAATGTCAGCCGCAGCTGTGTCGTCCAGAACTCATGATCCTACCATCATTAACTTACTTACAGCACACCAATGCCTCATCGGAAGGTCACTGGGACATCATTTTCGGTGCATGCACAAATTCCTACATAGACCACGGGGGCCAAGATTCTGAAGTTGCTGCGGGCAATCTGCCACGAAGGAACTGACTTGTGCTCGTTCGCCCGTAGTTTCAGAATTTCTAGCTTTCCTCCCACCACTCAGATCAAAATGCTCAAATTGAAGAGCTCAGTTCAGTTCTGGCTGTTCGAATACACGGACGTGCTGTTGATGTGGCCGGGCCTCTTGCTCATCATCGTGCTCTTGCAGAATTACTTGAGGTCCTGCGTTTGAGATACACGACGGCGACTCTCAGGCCCAAAAGCTGGTTTGGTATCGAAAATGTTGACGAGGGGCGGACCTGAGAGCATTGATCCGCTTGACTCAGATGCTGCAAAGATTGGTTCCAGAAAGATTGTTCCGGTAGACACTGATGTTGACGAGTTTTACTCCACCTCGCGGTCTTGTTCGCTTGAGCTCCACCTTTGGGGATCACTCAGTCGACGTTCTAAGGGTCTGCTAAGAGTCAAAAGATACTTCTGATCTCTTGGTATATATTGTAGGAAATCAATCTACTTTCGTACTTCTCTTTTGCACTCTTCTACATAAGAGTTCATCGTTTTGCCGCTTCTGTTGTTCTGTCCATGACTCCCCTCTTGTCTTTTATCCTATTCCTCGATTGATATTCTACTCTGGAGTGTTAGCATTCGGGCTGCATAGCCGCATTGAAAAACTGTCACACACACTTTCCCTCGGACTTCAATGTCAAGACTGCTGTGTTGAAATGAGGGAGAAATAGTCCAAGTACCTCAGATTGCTAGTCATTTATTTTATAGAATACTATGAGGATGCAACATTAAGGTGAATAGAGAAGTTTTCCTAGTTAGATAATGCAGTAGTAACTTCATTGATCATTAAGAGTGTCTATGACGTTGTATTTACGTCTGTCATTAGAAAAGCATACCAGTGGGAGAAAACTCCTTCGATTTCACGGTACTGATTTTGGGGGTGTCTTTTAGACCAATATGTCAATCCGCAGCGTTCACGAATTCTGATGCTAGTAAGTTCATGTTTAAGATTCGACTGGCCAATTTAAAGCAGAATGACTGATCTGGTGAGAGTGGAGCTGCTGCAGTGCTTGACTGGAGGTTTTTCTGATTTCGCTTTTGTTTCGTCTGTTGGCCATTCCGGCGATCCTGGCGTGTCATCGGCAGGATCGCGACATAATTTATTGATAACACGTAAAATGCACACTAACTATACCATTTTATTATAACCGAATCCAGCGCCTAGAAACCCCAGTTGATGACAACTATTCACTTTCTGCCAGCCAAATGTTTAAGCACAAGAATGGCTATTTCTTGGGCTTCTTTTTTGGATAAATGATCCATATCAAATGCAATTACTTTATATCTGATGGAGTGCCATCGTAGATCAATGAATTATAAATTGATATACATCGATGGCATGAATTCCGACTCTTTCGGACACTAATAATCCCTTCAATCTTTGTCAGTAGTGCTTTCCCACGTGCATGTTATCCACACATATAATGGCCCTGGATATAGGAGGGTTTCAAGTTTGGTGTACAGAATAAGAATGAGATTTATATGCGCTCATGAGTCAATTGCACAGAATTTGATGGGATTCAGGACAATACCTGCCCTATTGGAGATCTATCGACAAGCACGTGATACCACAGCATGCAGCTAAATCCTCAACAAGGTTAGATTGTAATTCATTGTAATATTTCTAGCTTGTCTTCTTCCTACAACAACCAGCGCTAGTTCCAGAGCCCACTCCAACCCATTCTAAGTCGTTTATCGAACCGTAGCGATGGCAAAGATGTACTTTCCACCTGTTCAAAAGCTACAAATGCTGAATGTAGTACAACCCCTTGGGTCTGATCGATGTGAAAATCTTACCTTGGAAAGTATTCTCTCAACATTTGGATGAAGGCTGAACGAACATCCTTGTTCCTACCACGAAGCTTGAATGTATAAAAAGTGTACACACGTGTCAAGTACAGTGCTGCTTGAATATTGTTCGTAAAAGTCTTCTGCGCTGAACCTTCACAGACGTCTAATATTCAGAACTTTTTACGTCTACTGATTTAATTTCAAAATGCATGTCACAAATCGACCCAGAGTTCTTGCAGTCTTCACTCTTAATCACCGTTGGAGAAAGTAACAGAACTTGGCTATATGCAACTTGATACGTATCCTTATGCACAGCTTTGAACTGATATCCAGAGCATGGGGGTGTAAACTGTGGCAATGCACGCTGACACATTCGACCAGATGTGAAGAGTTTTCAACTCGACCGCCTTCTCGTCTTCTGCTTCGAAGTTTTCGTGATATCAACAGCTAGTGCGTTGTGCTTTCAGCACATCATAGAGGTTACATGGTCGGGCTTGAGAATTCGTCAGCCTGGACAATCTGAGGGTGCAATGAAATCTTGAAATCTTGGTTCATATATTCATGAGATATTGGTTCGGCACTTCGAGGCTGAAGACCGACAAGGTAATTCACTTTTGTTCTGGATGAAGTGGAACCATCTCTTTCTGCATCTTGTGGAACTATCAAATGAGCTTGGAGCACACTGATTTGAAGTGCTAGATAACTGATTTACGAAGGATCAAGCTTTACGAAATTAGGAATGGTGAACTACTACTCCTAGCAAGCACATGTCGAAAGAAATATTTCTCTCGGAGCTGGTCCACGTTCACTACTTCGACGACATCTCTAAATCTGCCCTGCATAGTCACTCCGAACGATAGCTTATTAGCAAACAATTCTCACCAAAACCTTACACTGCGTAGCTACATTACCCCTCCACACCTCACGTTAATAGCTGAATATATATCTCCTCAAAATATACTTATAATGTAGCAGATTTCGTCGAGCTCACTCTGCTTACAACAGCCTGCGGACCGAAAGCTTTCATACATAGTGATGTACATGTCCTCAAACATCCAACATCCTAAACGATATTCAACGAGACTCAGAACCTCGGCTCGAAAATTTCCCTCGCTGAGAAGTTCCATCAACGAATCGATTGACATGCAGATGGACACAGACACTGGAACTTGAAATTTCACGAGAAAAATGGTTTTTCCGTTGGTAATGATCTTACATTTTCCTGATAGAATTCTACTGATTCACACTGTAATTACACAACCCTTGCTTGCTGTGACTGCTGCACTGTGAATACGTATCACGAACTATTACGAAATCAGGTCTAAGAACTCAGGATCTCTAGAAAGCAGAGCATGTATCGTTGGACTTGCACGGAGGAGGATTGGAGCAGCGTCGACAGAGTTGGGATCGTGAGGGAGGAGGTACACGACCGGATCGTTCACGACGTTGAACAGAGAGCACGGAGCGGAGAGAATTGGAGGGCCGAATCCGAAGTCGAGTTTGTAGAAGTTATCGAAGTGACTCCATGAAGTGATCGTCACTGGCAGAAGACTCTTTGCAGCAGAATGGGAGTTTGGAAATTCTTCATTCACCACGGATGCCATTGCGTCTATCGATTTGAATTGGTTGTCGAGCAGGCTAGCCACTGACGCAGGAGTCACGCTGTTTACAACCTCGTGGATTTCACATGCTCCCCGAGTGAAGGATTTGTCTAATACTTCCCGTCCTGTCGATGCCGGAGGACCGATGAATAGATACATGTTACCAGCAAAATCGTCTGCAATGGGAGGGACTCTGCATTTCTTTCGGCATTCGACGGTGAATCGGAGGTGGATGAGGTCGTCTTCGTCACGGCACAATCTGGCGAAGCATCGCCATATCTGAGTCGAGATGCACTCGAATGTTGTGAGGCGTTCGTGTCGCTGGAGAGGTCCGGCGTCACGATCCTCTCTCGCTGTCTGCCGTAACCTTTCCACCGAGGCCATCTGAACATTGATCAACTTGTTCACGACGGGGAATTGCGCAGCGCTCGACGATGGGAAGTTCCTAAATCTCTTGGACAGTGCGTCGCCCACGTTCTTCATGTCCAGCGCGATGCCCAGCACTCGGGCTTTGTCCGAGACCGAGGGCGCGAAGGATCGCTCGAAAGATGGCTCGACGGACGTCTGCCCCGTGTCTGCAATTTCCCACCACGCTTTGATGAATCGATCGAAGGCGAACCCGTCCATGGTCATATGATTCCAGCTGACCGCCAGGCACACTCCCGCGCATCTGAAACTCGTCACCTGGCCATTCACCATTCGTGCAATCCTCACCATGTCAGCATTTCGGAATTGCAATTCTGCACCGAAGATGCTGAGCTGAAATTTCGTGCAGTGTCTGAGAATACGAGCAAAATCCAAATCACGGAGAATTCATTTCAGCTGCTGCTGCAGGCTGGCGGCGGGATGGGGGGTCTGCTTGTGTACTGACTTGGACGATCAAACAGGGCCACTCTTTGTTTTCGGGAGTCTTGTGGACATCTGCGACGACGAATCCTGGCACTGCGAATTCTCCGATGAGCTCCCCGGGAGGCTTGAAGTCTGCGGGGTTGAAAAACCTTCGCATCTGGTCATCTACAGCTGCCTGCACAAAAACTGCTCCTTCATCGTTGCAAATCAATTTTCTAAGGGACGCATCTTCTGTTACAACCCACTTCCCAGCTAGAGGGAAATACAGCGTCAGCACTCTGCTCAAAGATACCTTCACGACGTCGACGAATTGGGCGAATGTCGAGGGACGCGCATCCTCTAGCTTGTAAAGGTAGAGAACCGTGACATACGAGTCGAAAGTGTTCAGGTCATAGATGCACGGATCGAAGGCTTTTGGATGCTCTGTTACAGAGCTGGGTACGATTTTGCTTATGACTACGTCTCGTAAAAGTTGTGTCGGCTGTAGCTCAGGCACCGAGACTGTGTTCTCACCGTCCATCGTTCGTATGTGACTGCGGTTCCCCTGGAATCGAAGACTGTAACGAGAGAAATGCACGCCCAGTCCTTGTGGCGCAAGGTTTTTATACTCGCAGTTCTGATCATCGATACTGCATGATGGTGATGTTCTCATGGATTAAACAATTTGGACGTGTGATGCGATCATGATGAGTGCATTAGAATTCCCTCATCGAGCAGAAGCTCATTCCTTATCATCAGCCCAAGACTCTATTTTCATACATTGCCAAGACCGATTCTCCAAGACTGCAAGGCCCACGCCAAACTGTTCTTGTCTTACGAGAACAGTTTGGTGGTGGAGAATTGCAACGAGTGGCTAATGCTCAAACGAATACAATTGAAAGAAAAGAGAAAGTCTACCTATGTTCCTAATATTGAGCCCCTTAGATACAAGAAATAAAAATCGTCATCGAACACTAGTCCTCAGTAATCAGCACATCCAAAGGTTGTTGGTTGCGGAATCGTATTGCGGGAGGAAGTTGATACAAAAGCACGCTTTCTATCTTTGCTTCGAATCTTGTGGTGCTTCCTAAGTCTGACTTCGGAAGCACATAATGATAACATTGTTCAGCTATTGGGACAATCTGAGTTCTGTTATAGTTTAAGTCTGCCGCAGATTTAGAGTGGTAAGAACTCTCCAGATTTCAGACAATCACCGTAAAAGTATGGATGATGATGTATATGTAATGTAATACATGAAGAAATTGTGTTTCTATTCTACTATAGGTGATATCTTTATCTTCCATCTTGTCTGCTAAGTACAGGGTTTTGGGATCCCTGCTTGTGCTTAAATGCAAGTGTCAAGTTGGCCTTAGAACTTATTGAAGAATTACGGAGTTTGAGGTCAATGACCTTGGCCTTTCGTTAATTCCAAGGAGTGGTAGATACAGTTGAAACAGCAAAACGAATCGAATTAGAGACTTACAACCTGCTTTTAATTGTTTCGTACGAAACCTCAATACAAATTTCACCAACCAGCTACAAAGTGTCGATGGTTTCTTAGCATATTCAGCAAGGGTCTTGTATCCTTTGTATCAAATTCTTTTATCTATCTCATGGTCTCGTCAGGCTTTCAGAGGTGATAATCTGTGGTAAAGAGTATCTACTGATCCCTGATAATTGCTCGAGTACGATCCCTCGTAATTTGTGAGCAGTTCGCGACCTCACCAAGATGCCACTCTCGTGGTTGAATCAAACGATGTTGGAAGTTATAACAGAAAGTACTGAAGTGGGCTCTAAGGTGCCTGAGATGGTACAAGAATCTATGAGTTCTGATTTTATTAGGAAATGCAGAACTTTTATGCAATGCAGGCTTTTAAGCACACCAATTTTTTTCGCTCACTCCACGGAAAGAAGAGCGGAATGTACGTCGATAGCAGCTGAAGTGGCAGCTGTCTGGTGTCCTGCAGATACGCAAGCAGAATCACTCCCATTGTAAATGTTATACCTGTACCGTGGCGTAATGAGCGAGTCAGAAATAGTCGTCCAGGTTTTAGAAGATCGCGGAAGTCTTAAGGCATGAGAGAGCTGGCTGTAGAGATGGTTTACGTTCCGTGTCAATCACTTTCGTTCTACCGTCAAGACCGCACCGAAATCTGTGGGTGCCTGAAGACGCGCATCATGACTGATATTCCTTCAGACAGCTAATATCATATACATGCTGCAGTCAATCTGCACCTGTTGCTTTTCTGCCGTTCAGATTCCTGATTGCCTGCTCTGTGCATATATGTTTAAATGCAGCTCTATATCTATAGCTAGACCGAGCTTGCGCACCTCAACATGGGCAGAAGTAAAGGAATACCGAAGTAATAGGAAAGGACGACATATAAAGCTAGTTGAGACACGAGAAAGTAATTTCAAATCTGTAATTATTCAGCCCAATATAAATTGTCTACTGGAAAGACTTTCAAGTCGACGACTTTCATCTTCAACGCTTTATTCGCCCAGTTCCTTCCAAGACCTCCTCATAATAAGCATTAAGCACCGGGAGCCGAATTTAGGATCCTTGAGTCGTAGATAATGAACGCGTGCATGACCGTACCAGGTGGGGAGAGGATAAATTTGCCCAGCAGCAGGGCAATAGTAGTATTTGATACATACATGGAAATTGTAATTTCATCCGCCTCCGATCCCAAGCGAGCTGCTCGTTGGTCAATGATTCTCTATCTATCTATTCCCTGGTTGATTGGTTATATGATTGATTGATTATATGGACGCTTGATACCCGCCGAGTGTTGGAAGTCGAAAGGCTCCCCCGCATATTTTTTATCAGAAGCTGCAGCACAGGATTTGATAACAGTGCTGTTGTGGTTCCGAGATTGATGCATTTCCAGTCTCCAAATATTCAAATTTGGGGCGGGTGAAAGAACGACTCATGGCTGGGAGGGACAAAGACCGCCTTTCCACAACAGTGGAACCATTGAGGAGTTCTGGTGCAGAATGTTCTGTGTGAATAGAGATTGGAGATTCGCACCTCCCTTTGTTTGGCGTTGTGAGTACTCAGTCAGCACTCCATGGCTGGCTGATGGTACACCCTTTGGGATTGTGACCTCTAAATTTTAAGAACTTTATACTCTTGTTGCATGGATTTAGCGAGCCATGTGTTGGTTGAAGCATGCAGGCGGGGCAGTTGTGTCGAACGACCGACCGAACATGCTCAGGACAACTTGGACGTGGCCAAGGAGTCTCCATGATACTAAGGGTGGGCTGATTGGCCATCTCGTGAGCCCCATGCATCCACAAGCAGAGTTACAGTACGCAATGGATGCTTGGAAGGAACAAGACACGAACACTTCAAACTTCTATTACAAGGTTGCTGTTTACGGTTTCCTTTAACGCTTGAAGTTGTTTTTAGCCCCCCCTGGAGTAAATAACTATTCAACAGCTGCTCCTTGAACTTCACTCTGTAATTGATGCAATTTCCACTTTCTCCTCTGAAGGTCCCGGAGAGAGCTGAATTAAGAAAAAAATTACTCTTCTAACATTCTTTTCCGAAATTTATGGGTTTTTAGACTTAAGCCCTACATATGTGTAGGACCTTATATGGTCTAAATGTATATTCTGTTCTAACATTTGATGATCGAAATTAGGAATCCAGTCAAAGGCTACTGGAAGATCAGGAAAGATAAATGATCCATGCTAACGATACGGTCAGGAAGACCATCCATTAGAGTTTCATTGCTTCATCACCAAGTCCTTGACGCAGGCGGAAAAAAGAAATAATATCTGTTGAATGCAAGACTAGACATTTGAAAGTAACTCTGAAATAATGATGAATTAGCAAAGCTCTTAAAAACTGGAATATTTTTCATGCATAGATCAGACAATATACTAAAAGCATGTTGGCAACTTTGTTTATTATATTGTTACACATTTGAAACCTTGGATTACTGTTCTGCTACAAATTATGATAATGATGAATTGCGAGCCACAACTACAGACTCCCCACTCTGTTGCTTTCATGCTGGACGCAAATGTAAGCAGCCAGCCAAGCATTCGAGTCAGGTGATGGTAGGGTGGCTCGAGAGTTGAGTAAATCAGAAAACACAACAGTTTCTCATCGATGAGTGAGCGAAAGGAGAAAGGAGTGGTACCGATTGAAACCATGTTTCTGATGTGGCGTACGTGGATACTTAAACAACCCAAGGAGCCCCAGACAACTCCTGCGCTACCCAGCTGGCCGATTATCTCGTGAATTTTTCCGTGACCAGAGAAGAAGATTCGACCTGTTCGAATCGAGAACTGATTGAGGAAATCCTGGGATGTTGGAGATCCCAGAATTCAGAACCGTTTGTGAGCGCAACGAAAAGGATACCCAATTCTCTCTTCGCTAATGGACCTGATCGCCTTTGACAAGCCGAATTTCAATTCATCAAAATTATCCGAGTGTAGAGAAGCAGAACATGAAGGACAGCGTTGGAATACAAGTCCGAAGCTGCACGCCTCCTTTGCAATACGTCATTCGAAAATTCAACTCTTTCTCCTCATTTCCAGTGGCCAGCTTTAGACCGAATGAGGAATCTGTATAATTGGAGCCGAGAGGAGGAGGCCTGGATTGCCATCGAGATTCTTCAACCCTGCTGGTTAGCTAGGTTTCCGCCGTTAATTTCTGCAAGCTGGTTTGCGATGCTCATTGGACACCCCGAGAATTCGAGTGCTACTGTCTGGGCTGAATACTCTTCAGTCGTACTTTGACTGAATTGCCAGCGATCGTGGAGAACTGTCAGAACTGTTGAAATTCCTCGTATCGTCTGGCTGCTGGTGGATTCGTGCGCGTATACCGACTAGGCCTGTTTCCATCGGGCTGAACCGGGTCCCAGCCTGTCACCTTTATGCCGAGAGTTCAACTTTTCACAACTTCACTCCAGATACGAGACATGTACAACATTTCCACGAACAGACGTAACATATTCTTTATGTTTTTGATACATGATTGAAGGCAAATGAGACTAATAAATATCTAAGTGCTTCCAAAATCATCAATTAATTCGACTTTTCTTGAACTATGACCTCATATTGTTTTCGTCACCATAACAAGATATCAAAGAAGATTTCCCCTCATTTTCAGAAATATGCTTTTTATTCTAAAATAAAAAATGATGAAAGAATAAAATAAATCCTTACATCCAGGTCTGTGAATGTTTATTTTCAATATATGTTCCAACCTATCTAATATTATTCATAACATAAAATCGAAATGGAGAAAAAAAATCATATTTTGAATACAAGTTGATAAATTTAATTCATGAATTTGTATTTACAACTAAATAGCACAAAAGTTTGGAGATTAGATGGTGAGAGCCTATCATAACGTTATTAAAAAAACACCTCAAGAATCGTTGAACTTTAATTTGAGTAAAATTCATGTAATAAGAATTTTTTAAAATAGATTTCCATACTAATTAATTATATTTGCATAAATAAACAATTCAACCTCAAAAAAATCAACATGAGAGTGTTTCACAGAAAAGTCTTGTTGTTATG